GCAGGAAGTCACTATTCCACGCGAGCAGAGTAGCGGGCAAAATCTGGTATACCATATATTAACACCATTTTATACTATTTTTGATGGAGATAATTACCCAGGACATTTTACCTGGATTTGAATATAGTTTGCAAAACGTATGACATACCTTACCTTATGTACCTAATTGGACTGTAGTTGACTTCACAGAAAAGCAATGGACTATCGCGGGCTATGAATGAAGTCATAAGGATGACAGTATTATCTCTTATTATGATTTACGACAGAACATACACGCAATTTGTAAAAAAACACTTCCTTAAATCATATGCAAAAAATGGCGGAAATATCCTGCAAGATTTATTCACAATGGCCGTAAGTAGGTAGTATTGAACTGCTGGACGTTTTGTAGGCTTCCGTAACGGTTATGAAACTTTAATTTGGTCAATTTTCACGGTAACCATACAATGGCGACGTCGCGACTAGTTCATAACACTTAATGTAGGTACGTGATTCAAGAGTTGAGCACGCCAGTGTTTACGCTTCAACGAACATTGCATTGTAAAAAATGCGCCATTTTCGTATTTTACGCGAAAAACTTGTTTGTTGGGCATTCAATTTAAATACTACACAGGATAGTTGTCTTTTTTGCTGTGAATATGCGGAAACGTGGAAGTTTGATACTGTGATCTGTATTCTTAAGGAAAAATCAATGGAATTTAATTAATTTTGTAAGTAGGTATGAATGTTAAGTTTTGTCGTCGTAAAATGCTCAGAGTGATTCGCGTAAGTGCGTAACCCATAGGTAAGTACATCAATTTGGTACGATTCGTTGTTTGTAAGGTAAAAGGAGTTTGTGATTCACAGTGAATAAATAAATTGACAATTATAGGAAATAGCCAAGGTGGGAAGCGAATACCAGGGACGTTTTGGACACGCAATTCTTTGTAATACGTTCACAAAGTCATGTTGTGTGACATTCATATACTGATGTTTACAGTGTAATTACAATAAACCTAGTGCAATAAAATACAAAAACATTATCATAAGATGTATATATGAAGTCCAAAAATTCGTTTTTGTTTTTGTATTTAAAACTCGCAGCAGAGCATCATTATACCTAGGTATTTTAAAAAATACTTACGATGAAGGTTGCGAAAATTTGTAATTTATGATTTCAAAAAGGACCGATTTAGTAGTTTCGGTTGTTTAATTTTCGTTCGACAGTCATTTTTACACCATAGATTATTGCTACTTAAAATGCTTTCGATTTGGTGTCAATTTAGTAAGTAATGTAATGAGGCACTTAACAAATATGTGTTGGTTTCAGATTTTATTTCCATTTTGTATACTGAATCTCCTTCAGTTCTGGATCACTTTAATTATTTAGTCAACCATAGTGTTCGATACAAACAGCAAAACTGTACAGCTAGCATCTTCGATCCTTCAAGCAAAGAGTGTAGCGGCTCAAGCAAAATAATGTACCGCGGCTCTGACTTGGAGCAGTAAAAGTAACGGGGTAGTTTTTAGTCAGTAAGAGTGAATTTCCAAACTAAAAAAACATGAAGAACTACTCAGAGAATCCCTTGCCGAGTCTTATCCATGTAATTCATGTCTCATTAAAAGCATTGCGCTTTAAATTTCTTAAAGGGGTCGATAGAGTTATTTAAACCTAGTAAAAACGAAATTCCTTCTCGCCCCACTCAAAGTCTAATTCTGACCTGAGCCTTTTGGGTGGCACCACATTTGTAATAACTCTAGTCTAAGAGGCAGCGCTGGTTGCTGGACAACCACCCGGTGAAGTCTAATTCTTTGAAAAAAGGCTACTTAAATGTTGGGGTGAAACTGACTATGAATCGAAGTGCGTGGCTGAATAGATTTGCATTAAACTCGTAGGTAACCTACCAGCTCAATAACGGGGAATGGGGGAAACACTGCTACCAACTACGAACTATGTGCTACGAACTACGCACTACGAACTACGTGCTACGAACTACGCACTACTAACTACGTGCTACGAACTACGGCTCTTCTAGATAGATATTATAGAGGTCAACAAATTTTCTATCTCTGATACATTTTTGAAAAAAAATAAATTTGAAGATTATTGTATAACTTCATTGCTTTTTTATTTACCTATTTACTTACATTATTGTTTATTTTGAAAAAGGGATAAAAGTGCCCCAGCCCATCATTTGGGTCCTCCTTGTGGGAGTGCTCCTGTACAACCAGATTGCCTAAAGTCCCGAGGAAAACCAAGAATAACGTCTAAGTTCTAGTCTCAGAATACAGAACAATCTGTATTCTTCTAGTCGTAGTCTAAGTGTTGTAAAGCCAGGTTAAATTGTTGAAGCGGATCATACAGATCAAGTTATTTTAAAAGCAAAACTTTATTATACATTTGAGCATTAATAAACTTTTTTTGTATATACATAATGTCGTGGTTGCCTAGTTAAGGCGCCTGCGTATCATGCATGAGGATTCGAAACCTGGTAAGCACCAATATTACTTCCTCCGAGTTAGCCTAAGATTATTTTGATACCACAGGCGCAGTGAAGGAAAAACAGCGTAGGGCAACTTGAACTTAAAATTTGACATTATAAGTTTGAAATCACTAATCTACCTTGAGTAAGCGTGGTGATTAATGTTCAAACCTTCTCCGTGTGCAAAAATGTCTTGTTCAGCAGGTTGATGATGTGTGAAAAGTACCTTTATCCATATCTGTACTGTTAAACAACTTTGCTTCTATACCATTTTACCAATCAAGTATTATGAGTCTATTTAAACTCGTAATTAACGAGTTTCCTACGCAATGTGTGTAGTAACCTATTTTTACCTATTGATGAAGCGAGAAATCTTCAGATAAGGTTAAATAACTCTCCATCGGCCCTAATGCCGATATGAGTTTATGATATAATTTACTGAATAGGTAACTAAATTGTAGGTTGTGGTTAGGTAGTTAACAAAATTGTGTACTAAATTCCTTAATAAATTTTTCGTATTGTCATTGTGTTGCAATGTGTTAAAATTGGGTTTCCTGCTCGTTCTTCTCCATTCAAAAGTCAAGTCAAAATCATTTATTTCAATTATATTAAAATTTTGAATGTCAAACAAAGCCCAAAGACAGCTCACAGTCATGCAGCTGTTTGCTCGTTTATACTATTCCGATGGAGCAAGAAATGTCCATAGTTAACTACTCTTTTTTAAACAGTTTCACATACTAATGCTCACTTAAGAACGAGCACCAGACAGCCAAACTGCGACTTTTGAGGTTGCAAACTTATCTGTTTATGATTTAGTTAGAATAAATGATTTTGTTGTTGATGCCATATTTTTATTTGATACTTTATATAATTCTTCCTTGAAATTTTGGTAGAAAAATACGAGTACTAAGTACCTATGTCGTAAAATCGATGAATGAATGTGGAGTTCCTTTTTATTATTTAATTGCATTGAAAAATCAGTCAAGTATCTACCCAATAGTCACTTAACTGAGAGCACACCACTAAAGGACTCGATAAATAATCCATCGATAAATCATCCAATCGATAAATAATAATCACTCTGAAGAGGCCTCTAGGAGCCGCCAGACCACCACAGACGGGGGCCAATAGGACTGATGTTGAGCCGGAATGCCAGGTAAAACATAATAATGTATTGCAGCTACGGCCTGGATCAGAAGAAGGAACCGGGTGTTTTAGTCAGTATGAGTCTGACACTCGCTCCCCACCTAGGACAGGAGAAGCCATTTGATGGTTTACCCTATTAAAAAAAAGTGATAAGGATTGGATATCATTCTTGAATAGGCAGGAATTGTACTCTAAAGCGAGCTAAGGATAAATAAATTGTGTCAAAAGCGCCTACGACTTTACTGTAGTAAATTGTCGTAGTAATAAACTTGTAAACGTTAGCTAGTCGATAATGTTCATGTCGGACCACTCAAGAACTAAGTTATAAGTTAACTTTTATTAAAATATTCTATTGCAAGACTGGCCAGGTCAAAATGTCTCATGATGAACTGTTAGCCCGGTTCGGAACAAGAAAAGAGAGTTTGAGTCAGTAAGAGTGTAGCACTTACACATCCACCCAGGACCCAAGACGTCGTTGAATGATTTTCCAAACACCAAATAAAATCTTAAAAAACTTCTTCAGATATTCTTTTATCAAGTCTCATTACATTTCTTACAGGTTTGTACACCTAGTAAATGCAACATTCGTTATTTTTATTCGTCTATGAGCGGTCTTGTTGACAGTCTATATCTATACTAATGTTATAAAGAGGTAAAATTTTAAAGTTTGTAAGTTTGTATGTAGGGGGTAATCTTTGGAACCGCTTGTAGGATTTCCAAAATTATTTCACTGATAAATAACTACAATGTTCCTGAGTGCTATGGGCTATAAACATCACGCTAAGATTAAATGGAGCCATGCAGCGGGTGAAACCGCGCGACAATAGCTAGTCATAGTATAAAAGAGTTTCAAATAAGCAAAAACAAACCAGAGGGCCCACAGAATATCAATCTACATTACTTTGAAGCACATCTACCATAGTATTAGACAATTTGAGCGCAAGAAAAAAACTATATAGGTAGACACGTGCTTATGAGTGTAGGGTTCAAGGCAAATCTATTTTTTCTTTTTTGACATACTTTGTTATACAAACGGTTGTTGTAAGTACTATACATAATTTAAAATTCATATTTGAAGCCTATCGGTAAATGGTTGACACTATCATGAGTAGAACATTCACATATGAAGCAGCAGATATTGACGTGTTAGTGATAACAACTGAATAAACACACGTTTTAACAATGATGTATTGTATTATCAATAAGAATTTTGTCATATACTTAACATCTAAGTATTCACATATAGATACCTTAACTTATAACTGCATAGGAATCACCGTTTTATTTTAATTTTAACAGATCTGTACTTAGTATTATGCCAAGCTACTTATGTCACATAATTTGACAAAAAAATAAAAGTAAAAATAGCAAAAATAATTAATCAGATCACACTAAATACATACATAAGATATGTAACATAAAGATCATAAATCCTTGGAACTTTCGGGGAGGCAGAGGAATATTTTGGAGCAGGCGAGGTTGAAGGAATTGCACGCTGAGATCAACCATTGGGGTTTATTCTTCCAGACGATGAAGATGTAGTATACTGGAACACCGATGGCGATGAAGACAACACCTATGCCAACTTCCACGGGTGTCGTGAAACACGAGCAGATCACGACGAACGTGCAGATGATGAGGAAAGAGATAGGGAGAATGATGTTGACTCGGATGGGTCGCATGAGGTTCGGTCGCGTATACCGCATGTACAGCAAGCCAGCCACCGATGCCAGCGTAAACAGAGACTCCACTGCCGTCACGTACACTATCAGCGATTCCACGTTGTTTGAAAGCAGCAGGACCAACGTCGCTATACACTGGAATGGCAAAACAACGTTATTTAATATTAACGTCGTATTTTCCTGCAAGGTTATCTATATTGGTGTATAAGGAAATCGAACTGCCAATTATTTGAATTTAACTATTATTAACTAAAGGGCTGAAATGCCAAAATAACTGGGTACCCAAAAGAGTAAAAACTGGATTAGTGTTGAATTCCACAAATATTTTAACCACGTGGTTGCAGACTTTTGTAACCTACTTATGCAAACCATGTGTGTGAGAGCCAAACTGCAGGACGAATGGATCACCTCGATTGGAGGGATATACCTCGGCCTTACAGAAACAACCATAGCATTGAGTTTTGCCGTGTGCTTTTCGCAAAGCTGCCGGAACCCCGGCAACTCCCCGAAATTTCGAGTAGAGAAAAGGTTGTTCATAGGCGGTACTGATTGCTAACCATCAGGTAATCCGTCTCTATATTTGACGACCTATCACATAAAAACCAGATTTTAAGTAGGTACTTATATGTACCTAAATCATGTTGCACAAGTTCTCCACGTTAATTGAATTGAATGCGTTTCTCTTTCAAGAATTACATTACACACTTTCTTTTTAATCAACTTTCTATAATGACCGTATCACGAACTGATAATGTTCTAGTTAAGTCTCTCATAAATATAATTAGGAAAGCTAATAAAGTTAATGAAGAGTTATTTTAATGAAAAGTTAATAGATTTCTTGTACCCATGTCGCTAATCTTATCCGCTCAGACGATTATCAATACGAAACTTAACAAAATGGCGAAACTGTTTTGTTTTATGGAAAAAAGCAGAACGTATTTCGTTCTTTCTATTAGTTTTATTGTGATTAATGCGATATCACATTAACTATTTTTATAGTATGGCCGAGTGGGAGACAGTGTGACATTAAGTTTTTCTCAATCCTTTTCTTATTTGTCCATAGATTTATGTGTTGTGATGATGATTTTGCTAGATCTACCGCTAATTTACTTAATATAAGAACATATTAAAAATACCAATAGGTAGGTTTTTTACCAATAGGTACTTACAAGGAATATTAACGAAGGTACAGGAGTTAGCCTCCTAACGTCAATCAGAGATATGGCAAGTGGTAAGTGTCCATTTCTGGCTCCGACGAAGAACAGCCTGGATGAGGCGTAGATGGCTCCATTTAGGGACCCAAAGGTGCAGAGAGCAACGAACAAAGGCATTATCCAGGACATCATGCCAAGGATCTTCACGCTGAAGGTCACAGCGACTGCTTGAGACGAATGGATCTCATCGTTGGTGAGAACTGCGAAGTATGCCACATTTGTCAACGCGTAGACCAAGGTCACCACCGGCATGGAGATGCAGATAGCCCGAGGCAAGTTTCTGAAACATAATTCAATTAAATTTTTAGTCCTGTCTACATACATTATTTGTATGGATACCGATCTCTACGATTCAAAATTATTGAAAAGGATGGTCACATAATTATAACGGAAGAGAAGTTGTTATCTTTACTTTTTAATTGGTATTGTCGTCTCTTTTTTTGTTTTTGGTAGAATAATAATTGCTGTCTAAATTATAACAATAAACTCAAAAGATTCAGATAGACGAGCAAATTCTAAAGATCATTGACGGATTGATTAATTGCTATATACTTTCAAAACGCTAAAAACCTACTTAGATTTAAATTAAAAGTAATCGTACAAACTCCATGATAAAAGATAAATGCGTTCGAAAATTCCCACGATTCATAACAGTTTACGTATTAAAATAATTTATGAATTGTAATTGTTTATAAAACAGATAAACAAATGACGTGTAATGAGTGCTTTGAAATATTAACCATCATTAAATAATGCAGCTGAAATAATTTTCCGTGTGAATTTTAATTAGACATGGTGCTAACTGCTGATCATATTTTTGTTTTTAATGCACATAATATGTATATTTTGTCATCGTGTAATAATTTTGTCTACAAGTGATTATTGAGTATCATTAGGTGAGTATGGTGATTAATTCGACAAGCTAGTTTGGATAGTTAATGTGAATGACGCCTAAGTACATAAAGAAACAAAGGTGCAAATGGCATGGTCAATAAACATGAATGGGTTGGATTGGATGATTTATCAAGTAAAGAAGAAATAACTAGTGGAGTTGAACACGAAAATAAAGATTAAGTGGGTAATACACCTAGGGTAATACACATATTGTGATTTCAGGCAAGATAAAAATAATTGAAGTAAGAAATGATGACGCTGTGGGCACTGGTGTTTGATGTTAAGATTGATTGCCTCCATTTGCACAGAATGAATTTATCGGAAGAGCTAACAAGTCATGATAGATCGACTCACTTGTAGGGTTCTTTCAATTCTTCCGTCACAAAGTTTAAGTAGTTCCATCCGGAGTAAGAGAACAGTCCTGTGTAGAACGCTATGGCCAGTTCTCCGGGCGCTGTGATCGTGCCCTCCATCATATTCTCCAAGTTCTCCGTCGTATCGGAGTACATGTGCCATAAACTAGCAAAAAATGTGACAAGCAACGCAAGAATCTTCGCCGCCGTGAACGAATCTTGCACTCGCGTCACCCACTTAACGTTATAGCAGTTTATAACTGTCAGGAAACCTGGAATGAAACAATTGAACAAATAAGATTACTACTCATCTTTGTACGCAACGTATTTGTACTGATGATTAGGCCACGACGCCACGTGTGGGTAGATGTTCTATGATCTTCAGTACAGAACGAAATGGTACTTGACTACGCCTTCCCATGTCCTTGCCATAGAAATTGAGAGCGTCTTAAATAGAGTGTGACTAAGTATAATTTCCTAGTCTCAATAGACATCTACTTACGAATGATTTTTGGGCTTTATTGTTGGCCTCAGTTCACCCAGTTAAGTATACGTTCTATGTCAATGTTAGGACCCGTAGGACCTAGCGATAAGGAAATCGTTATTCAACCCAATAGCGAAATCACGTCCAGTTATTAAGTGCCCTTACTATACGTCGAGCGTGATAATTCCGCACAAGAGCGTGTGTCAGTACCATGCGGGAGGAAGCTCACATTATCCTGTCAGGCGCAATCAGCTCACCGACCGCACCACAGTACACCTATACGTACCTACCGGCACATAAAGATACGGACACAGTCGCCCTATTGAAGTGACAGCCTGAGGCCTCAAGTACAATACATCGCTTCACAATGATAGATCGCGACACTGTGCCTCTTATTGTATGCTCTTGGAGTCTTCCGTCAAAATAAGGGTCTGCGTAGATCATCTGGATATCATGATATAATATATATTTTGAATTGTGACTTCTTGATAAATTATTGTGTGATGTTAGAATATATGACGAATTACCAGTTTGTTAAAGATTTTTGAGAATAGTTGTCATTGATGTTAAAATCAAGTCTATTATCGAGAAAGTCCGTGTGACAAGATAACTCGAAATAAACATTCCAAGATTCTAAATACAGCACTTAAACAAGTCAATGTTAATTGTAATTAAAAAATCAAATACGAGTAACTTGAATTTTAGACATAATGGCTTTGACAATAAAATCTTTGAATACGATTCAAGACTCGTAGTTGTATTGATAGCCAGAATTAACAAAGGGTTGCTCTTGCTCCCCTAATTCTTGAAATTTGCTTTTGAAAAGCATACATCGTTAGGACATAATTCAAACCGGTTCGCAGTATGGGGTAATGATAATGATTAGTGCGTCGAAATAATGATTTCTTGTCTGAACAAAATACGATTCATATCCACTTGTGCAAATTCCGTGAGAGAATTCTTAAATCATCGATCGAGTTTCTCGGAAGCTGCACATGCATGCGGGTTTCATGTTAAGATTTCTGCGTATGATTGAGATGGGCTTCAAATAAGGATAGACCTGCCATGATCAGTCAATACCTTTTTCATTTTGGAATTTGTAAACATTAGGATTGTATGACTACATTTGATATGCAGGTATTTCATTTCATCATCGCATCGCAAGCCTTTGCAAAACACGATATAAATACTTTTTTGTTACATTAAAAAAGTGTCTGCCTTTTAGCAGTTATTTAAAGTCACCATTTATTAATTTTATTTGGTTTTGTTTTACTAAGCAGCGATCCGTAATGACGCCATTATGAACAAATACTTAATTCATTTCGAAAATAATTTATGTACTATTCACAGAAACAGGCTAAGGTTGTTTGGATACAAACAAATAAACTACAATCATTTTAAATGAGGGCTATATTGAACAAATATTTGCGAAAACTGTGTACACAGAAAAATCGACTATAATGTCGACCTACTAACGAATTAGGATAGACACTCACTGACGCCATAATGATAATCGGTTCACTCATGGTTACACTTGTCGAGAAATAAGGGGCAAAAAATGTTTACTCAAACATGTGTCTGTATGTTCCGAGGTCAACAACCGAACTCGAACGTGTTCTATTTACGTGAATCTTTATCGATGATCATGGAAAATGAGATTAAAAAATCGCGTCTTTAGCCTCTAAAAAGTTAACTAATTAAGCATAAATGACGTGAGTGCAAACAAAGAACGTCTCAGACATTTGGGACTGTTTGCATCTGTCATCAGTAGACCGAACACATTTTTATTCATATTTTCTACTACGACCCACACGTGGTTGCTATAAATACAGTTAGATCTATTATCTCGTTACTTTGTATTCGATATATATTCATCGAATGACTAAAAGAGAATAATAATATTGCAGAAATAATTTATACACATGTAGTTGGATCGTGCTTTAGAAACGGGTAGATATAAAAAAATGACAGCTGAACGATGGCACTTACTTTCCAGTAGACAATTCATATTGAGCTAAGATTTCAGGTATCCCGGATCGAGTACGCATGGCCTAGAAATAGACGAACGTTTGCCACGTGCAAAAGGGCCTACTAGAATAATGTCACTGCTAAACAAGAATAGCACTTATATTGTTGTATCATTTGGTAATTTATTCGAAAATACTCACATGTTACCGAAGCTGCTATGAGACTGACAGCTGCATCTGGAGGCGTGCAGGCTGGCCACAATGGTTTAAGGATGTTCTGTGCAAAGGTCAGCGCCGTAATGGCGTTCCCAGTTGGTACCAGGATGAACAGCGCCACCCACAAGTACAGGAATGAAGGGAGAGATCCGAACGCTTCTCCAATGTAAGCGTAGTCACCTCCTGACTTTGGAATCATTGTACCTGGAAATGAAACATTGATATAAATATATTTTATTAAAAACGTACGTACGTCAGGCATATCTCAAAGGGACGGAGCCTTCCTATTAAGTCTGGGATTGCTCCAGCTTGTTTCTCGATTCTGAACTGTAATAGAGAGAGAGCTGTGCGTCTTTGTCGAGTCCATTGCCTCAGGAATGTTTTAGATGCTTAGGGAATAGAACCCGAGAATAGTTCAAAAAAGAGAAATAGAACAGACATTGAGTTACTATTTATTTATTTAATAGCCTTTCTCTATGGCAACTTGGCATATTAATAAGATATGTAATTCCTTGTTATATGTTTCTACAAGTACCTACCTACACTATAATTGCACATAATCCAATATTTTTAAATACACCACTATTATATTGGCGTAGGTATATAACCCATTTCTTGATTTTGTTGTTGTTAATCGTTTATATTGCTAAGCGTAAAAAATTAAACAATCTATTTTGAAAAAAGTTTGTACGCAGCTGCCGACATAGGTACCTACTTTAAATTAACGTAGGTAGGTTAAGGCAGTCGCTAACCGGTAACCTCTTGCCATTTTGAGAAACGTATTTTTGTGCCTGGCTGATGTAAGAACATCGGGCAGTTTCAAGCACAATGCCACTAGCTATTTACATAATTGTCTGTGTTATGGGTTACTGAACGACTTAAAAAAAAAGAAACAAGAAGGCAACCACGTGTTCGAATGATGATTTGAATGCTTTCGCATTTGCCGTAACGGTATTTCGTCCCGTAACTGAGGTGATGTAACAATGTTTAACAATTTCAAATTAATTTTTAATCAAATGTTAAGTTAACCGTCGATATTGGTTGAATAAATTATTCGAGTTTACTTTCCTTATATTTTTCGGTGACTATAAATAAGGAAAAATAAGTATAGATACACCCAGAAATGGAATTATTTTTTACATTTACCGTTGATCATAAAGCACTCATAGCCCTTTAGTCAATGAACTGTGAACAGTAGACATTTTTTGTTCCGGGTGCCAGCTTAATGTATTCTAAAATACACTCCATTATGTCTAGTTTTCGTTTTCTTTAGAACCGGTCCATTCCAGCTGTAACTGGTTCAGTGTGCTAAATTTAAGTTTTTTTAATAAATAGCAATTTTTTGTCGCATTTTCTTGTGTAACATCGATTTATGTGCAAAATTATGCATTTAGTATTCTAATGTATATTTCTATTAATACTTATGTATGTGCTATTATTAATGTTTTATTCTAGTTTAAATTTATTCCAAAACGTTTACACGTGTGGAAACAGAGCTGCATTCATTTCACCCTCCATGCTGTACGGCCCATTCGTAATAAAATAATACGGTCTATTGATTTTAAAATTTGGGTCAGCCGAAACGTACACAGCTGTCTGCTGCAAATGGCAAAGACAACGGGGGTTGACTTGGCGATTTTTTTTTGTTTTTTTGATAGTCATTAATAATTTTGCACTGGTATGTTGTATCTGCATAGTAGGGCTTAAGTTTATATTTAGATATTTAATATTTTTTTCATATGGTATAAATACATTTATTTTCTCAATACGATACACCAACGTTTATATCTTAATTTAAGTACCTAGGTAGGTATAGATAGAAAATAATTTGAATTTGTATAATTTATTTGACGCAGTGCGTGATAAGTTTTTGAAACTACGTACTTATAAGTATTCGTTTTTCAGATCAAAGGCTTTCCGATATCGTTCAAGAGAAATGTAATAATGTTCTGTTTTGCATATCAATCAAGTATGGATATTAAGTATGTGAAGGGATGGTATTAAATATAGTTGGCTCGTTATCTTGACACCAATAAAACTATCCTCATAGTCGTATCATATCAGGAATTTATGGCAGCGCATATTTAATATTGTGAGCATATTAAACGGTGTATCCTTTTTGAACCAATATATTTGTATTATCAGTTGATAGAGGGATATTCATTATGCACATCAAATAATATACACGAATTTGAATTGGATTGACTGTAATAGGAAAACCGTGACACCAATATTATAAATGTAGACCTCTAAAACTCTAAATGTCATGTTAGTGTTTCTTTAGATCATATTTGAGAGCCATTTATAGACAACCATTGTGATATTGTGTGAGATTTTTGCTAGCTTCAGATGATTTGATTGCACGAGACACTGGGCCTAAGATACTGCCTTGGGGCACACCCTGTTACAAAACTTTACTCCATCTAATATTTAGTGTAAATAAAATTTGTCGTGGTAAAGGTACTGTTATTGTTGAAAGCTGGAGAGTTCATTACCTCGTTGATTCGATTTCTTGATATGTCTGCATTGCGTCTCAGGTCAACTAGGTTACGTTAGTAGGTAAATACCTACTTCAAGTAAGTACTTCAGTTCTATAATGCTGTTAAGTTGTCGTAGGTTCTTGACATGATAACAAAGTTCTTCATAAGTTAATTGGTTTTTAAAAATGTGTCTGGTTAAATAAGTAGGTAAAGAAAATTTGTTGTGATATGATGTGATATTAATTTGGTCGTTAAAATTATTTTAAATTAATTTGTATATAAAATAAAGAGTAGCTTCGAGATATCTTTAAATAGATAAAAGTTACAAAAGTAGGTATCTAATTAAGATTCAATTAAGTATTATATTTTATCGTATCAACAGGGTGCAGACGAGAACAAATGGTTGATGTGATTTATTATTTATCATAAGATCTATTTTACAAGTAAACGTTATAGAAGATAATAAAATAAAATTAAGGAACTATTTTCGTTAATTGAAAGAATTACCAAATTTCAGAAAGTTCGACTGAAGCCTACGTTGTTTTAACAGTACCTATTTAATTAAGACCTGCTTTTTAGAAAAATAAGCGAGCTATTTTTTGTTACCTATATTGTTTTTTAGTTAGGTTGGTATGTACGTTATGTAAACACCTATAAACATAGGTGTTCCTGTTAATGATCGTCTAGAGACCCTGAAACACCCTAGTCTAGAGGGTCTACAGTAACTTTCTAATCAATTGGTGGTGATCAGGTATATTTTATTTATTTCGATTGAAGGTACCTAGGTGCTAAATTTAGGCTTGGGTAGGTTCTAACTAATTTATCTACAGATGTGCTACACATGTCCTATTAGAATCTTAGAAGAATAATTTAGGAAAGTCGAGATCCATAACGTTCAAGTAGCTACCTAATAATTAACCAATGTTTTATTGATAAATTGTTAAACTTACTCTGTTCTAGGTAGGTACCTAATGCTAACATATTTCAGATTTGAAACCATGAAATTCGGCCTATATGGAAAAATTATCTTGCTCTGCAAGGACGAGCAACAGGTTCGTTACACCTTGATAACACAATTAAACACCGTCATTAATTAACATGTGGTGACGACAGAACATTGTTACCTCATGATTTTAACCCACTTACCTAACTCTGCATAGCAGAGAGCTCCGATCATCGAGAGGAACCCGGAGAGTACCCACACGATCAGCGCCATGCCCTTAGAGCCAGCATGTTTGAGGGCTAGACTAGGAGACACGAATATTCCTGATCCAACTATCACACCGACTATAATAGCCACACCGTTCATCAGCCCTAATTCCTTCTTCAAATGAACCCCTTCATCGGATTCTCCATCACCGGTGTCATTCGTTTCTGGGCCCATTTCCATCGGTTTCGGCGGCGGGGCATCAATATCACTCACTTTTGCCATGATCAACGTTTATAAATAACAAATTATTTGTAGAAGTAGACGACTTTGAGCGTATCACTTGTAAAATTAAACACTTTTACACATTGTCAACAGCAAGATGTAGCACAGCCGAAATTCTGAAGCACCGTCATACAAACATTGCATCACACTGCGGTGTGAGCTGCGGCGGGAAACACCACGTGCGGCAATGAACACCATTGAACTACCATGGACTGATAAAAAAAATTACTCCTGTGGTTTACGCCGACAGTAGCTGATAACACGACAATAGCCAATATAAATATTAGCGTAAAACAACTTCACATTGTTGTATTTAGGTTAATATATTCAGCACACTGCGTTCACCCGTTTTTTAATTTACTTTAGCTTTAGACTTGCTGTTTTATTTAAAAATTGTCGGGTTAATTTAATTAATAGTTCAAGTCAAAGTTCGATATTTTCCCGGTCGCGATCTTATCCATATGCTACGAGGAGTAGACGTCCGCCGTTACGTCCGCTTGCCTTACTATTCACTATGCTACTTTGCAAGTTAACCACGAGCACAGTCGTCTGCGTCCGCGTGGATGACTCAAACACAAAACGGCATGGGTCGACCACCGTGCCGAGTCGAAAGCGACTTTAACTATAAAGTTATTGAGCATAATTTCGACACAGTGTCGGCCGCGAGAATTCACTGCCAAGTTCGTACAACGAGTTTTTTAGCTATCTCGTTCTCACCATCACCATCCGATGTGCATCACCACGTGTAGATTTGGCACACTTTGTTTAAATAATAGGTAACTTGTAAACTGAGAGCCACTGATAAAGTACCGCCATGTTTTGTGGTGGGCACAATAGCGGTCTGTAAGAGGATTAGGTTCTTCAATTCTTCACGTAAGCAGGATATGAGCAATTCATTTATAGCTTGTTCGTTGCAAAGAGGTCAATGACAGTGTGATGATACGAGATATCAATCTGTTAGGTGAAAGCTACTGTTTCACACTTGTTCGTAATCCAACTGAACTTATTGCTATTGATAATGATATCTATTACATTTATGTAGATTATATCTACTTTCACGATACAAGTTTTCAAGTTTCGATGTAGCGAGCATCGTTCCCACTGGCATGGCGCCGCTTAAGCGCAGTCTAAGTGCATTTTCATTTCTAACTTAAGTGGCTTCGGTTGACTTTCTGGTCAGAAATAATTTATCTTTAGGTACATGAGGAATCCTCATTGAGGATATGTTAGTCTGTACATGTCTATTTTTAATTTACTGCTGAGTATCGATTGCTGTTTTTTACGTTTATCTGGAAACGAAAGATATTTAAGCTACCCACTTTATCCGTTACCTGGGCAGAATGTGGTACGGCTTCCTCGTTTGAGTAGCTCCACCAAATGAGCCACACTTTCGCAGTAAGTGGATTCAAGGATTTACTAGATAATCATATTCCACAGCTAAGAGGCCTCATCCCAATATATACCTAGAAATATGACCGGTATGAAATTTTAAATTTACGGTATTATTTATTATTCTATTACTGCATTTTAGAAAGTACTACCTACAACTCGGAAAGACGAAGGAATCGTACCTACCCGTTTCCCGTTCGTTCTTGTAGAATGGGAGTTGTAATCTTCGGGCCACCACTGTATTACTTACCGATACCAGAAACTATTTTCGTAGTTTCTTGACTCATAGTAAAAAAGAAACAAAGTTTATGTCCATTAAATAACAATATTACTTTTTTATATGAACTGTTCTTTATTATTACATATTGCATATTGAATATGAGAGAGAAATACAAATGTTAATTAATTATATTGATTATTACATGGGAGATTAAATATTGTACCAATAGGTATACAAAATCTACTGTACAGATGAAGTGGTATGTGTTTGTAAGTATAAAATAACTTTGGGGGAGGCGAAGGTCTACTTATGTCCATACATTTAGCTACATGCAGTTTTACGTTCAAGATTGTAAGACATTTTATTGATATTAATAAAAAAAAATTGAATTATACGACTTTAGACATTATGGTCGAAATTGTAAGCAGTTAATATCAATATCAAGTCTCACAAACATGGTTTTATGAATGTCGGCATGAAGTCAAATGTACAATTTTATAACAGATAAAAATAGGCGGACCATTATCGAGGTGTAGACCATCAGTGCTTAAGCAATACTGGACAACTTACTGCAACATATAAATGTCCAAATAACAATCAGTTTGACATGGAAACAACTTGTTGACTGTAAATGATGTAGTGGCGTATAAGAAAATCCTTTTTATTCCGTAATAAATGCATACAGATGTTAAAACTCTGATTTCATATTATATTAAAATTATACACTGTGATATGACAAAATAGAGAACAATAATGCAGAGTCAAATTGAAAAAGAATAAAATAAAAAAGATTTTAGTCATTGCCGCTGTTTACATCTAATTTGTATAACCTAGCTGTGCCATCGTCTGAGGCTGTTAATATTAAGTTTGTTTTCGCGTTATAACGTAGATCTAGGATTTCTGATAGGTGGCCTGTGAATTTCTGGCACTCTTCTCCCGACCGGCCTTCATAAACTCGTACGGAGCCATCAAGACAGCCTGTGACGAGAAGCCTGTTGACCCACATCATGCTGGTGATACCTGGACTTGAACCAGCTTTTGTACATTGATGACGCCGCATTCTCCGAGGAACATCCCATATGTTTACTGCGCCTGTTAGGGTACCTGTAGCACAATTTAAATATAAAATGAGACTGTTTTATACACAACTAAACATCTGTTAAGGTACTTACTTTCGTAGGAAAGTATAATATCAAATATTTAAACATCTGGAGAGGAGTCTTAAGTTTAATTCTATTTGTTGTGTATCAGTGTAGGGCATTTGGATCTCTCTATAAGTCTATATTATATAAGTACATAGTATAAAACTAAGTCACTTTATGCCTATCTTATTTATTTAAAATATTTAAGCTACAGACTTTTGTGTTTTTTAAAAGATAGAAGAAGAAAATGTTTCTTATCACCCATTACACAGTGCTAGGTCAGGGTGCTGGTGTATTATAAAACAGCCAACAAAGAGTGGACTAAATCAATTAAGCTTATATGTGAGTATGAAACAATTTAAATTTAATAATTAAGATTAAAATATAGCAATAACCTGTGGCAAGATATGGGAACTGGAGGTCTTTTGAAAATGCAACTATTTCTAAGTCTTCTTCTGCTGTCATCTGGCTGACTACCCTGCCATTATTTGGAGTTGTTAGTACTATTTTACCTGAAAAACAATATAAATTAACATAAATACTTAGAAATATTGATATCATATAAAAAAATTAAAGTTGGTGAATAGGAAACAATTTAGTGTTATCTCGAAATTAAAAGTTACAAAATTGGATTTTGAGCACACCAATCAGTAAAGATACTGAAATAATTTTTTTATGGATAGATTTTTATCAAAAGAGCAAGGAAGCTTGTTTTTAAAATTGTTTACCAATTTATTTGCACCTGGAGACTGAATTTTTATACTTTCAAGAGAGATCATATTCTATATGATACAACAACATAATTTTTGGGTGCAAGCAAACTGGTAACTATTATAACATTATGTTAGTTTAGAAATAATGATAATCTCACCATCATGTGAAATTGATGCCATAATATTATCATCGGGTGGAGTATCTATAGCTGTGACTTTATTTTGATGAACTGATGCAGGCACTTGGTGTAAAACTGTTGATTTTCTTAAATCCCATATCTTTACAAGGCCATCCTCATAACCAGCTGCTAAACGAACTCCATCATGGAACAACTGTAATTGTAAAAAAGTAAATTTTTAGATATGTTACACACAAACAAATATCACATCTACCTACATGATAACAGAATCTATAATTGTAAGAATAATCTTCATTAGATTACTCATAATCATTATTATTAGGTTTATAGTTATGAAATCTTAAATGACTTGCAATTAGAAAATTGTCAAATCATTAATTTAACCCTTATAACAAAAAAGTTACAATGTGAGTACTATAGTGTACATCTAAAAGGATAATATCCCTATATTATGGGTTGAAGCTTTAAACTGATCTTGGACAGAGATTGATTTAATTAGATAATAGATTTTTGACTTAAGTATATGGGTTTCACTAAAAAATTAGGTTTAATTTGATTGTTATATAATTAAATTAGAATTTTAATGAATATTTATTTACCAATCCACACTCCGCTTTGGTGTTCTCCCCTTGTAAGACTTTTGTTTCTCCTGAAGGTACTTTAAATACATATATTTCACCAGGTACTGTTCCAAAAACAAGAACTCTAGCTCCAAAATGCCACAGGCCCCAAATCAAGTCAGGTGCTTCATATTCAAAGACAACAGGCCACGATTCTTGCTGGGTCTCTTCACATTTCCAAACTTTGATTAGTCCTGCCATGTCCGCTGTGGCTAGGAATGCCCCATCAAAACTAAAGCCAGCAAAAATTACAGAATCCTTGTGTCCAAGACACTGCATAACCAACTGACCATCCTCAATCCTCCATACATAAGCCTTGTCGTCCTCCCCACCAGTAACTGCCAGTTTACCATCAGGGCTAATATCGCAGCAAAACACAGATCCATTATGCTCTCTAAATATGAAAATAGAATTGTCTTCTTGCATTTCTAAAGCCTCTTCCACGGGTTCCTCATCTTCATTGTAATCATCGTTAAAATCGATCTCTCCTACTTCTTCGAGGAAAACCATGCCATCATCATCTTCCATGCCCAAGATCTCATCTCCGTTTATGGACGACGACGGCGAGTCTTCCTGATGATTCCGCATTGTCTAAAAATGAATGGTTGAAACTTAAATCAAGAATAGACACGAAATAATGGTGCAATAATCAAAATTTTTATAAAACTAACCTCTTCTTTTAAAAAAATCAATATAAGTTTATAATTCTTATTAGAATTTTGCTGATAACTTGTAAAATAGTAAGTTTAGCCAAAAATATTATAATAATACAATTTCAGGAACGATAGCCACTTATAACAATTATTTTTACTCAATTACACGTTTCTTTCGCACGAGATTACTTTGACGATTGGTAGGTAAATTACAATTCGCCTTCATCCAAATGTCAATAATAAGGATGTACTCGTTTGTTATGACGTAAAAATCATCGACTACAGAATTGACAGAAATAGACGAGTTTGTGATTATACATGCATGGTCCGATTTATCGACGGTATGTGCATGGGTATTCTTTATTTCTACAATTTGTTACTGACGTTTGACGTTTAAGTTCTTTGACAGACACTGCAGAAACAAATTTTTAGGTTATGTCTTATGAGTATAAGATTTTATATTTGATTGAATCGAATTAAAAATACAATTAAACGTATAATATACGTACAAAAATCTGATCTGATAAAGTGAATTAAACTTTGTCTAAAATGGCATCCCTCAAAAAAGGTACTGTAGATTCCTGTATCACATACAAACATATAAATTTCATATCATAACAAACTAAAATTTTATTTGTTACAGTACTTTTACCGACGCAGGCAACTTTTTTAATTGCTAAGCGATTTCGCGGTAAGATTAATATACAAAGGCCAAGGAAACCTCACTTTGAACGGCAGCTTCTAATAGACTTGTCGAAACCGAAGTATGGTCCTCCGAAGCACCTACTTCCTGACGCTATGCTTTGTGATAGAGGAGAAAAGCTATACGCAAAAGTGATTGATAACCCTTTTGAGAGAATATTAGCAAATGAGTGCCTCAACTGGTTTAACACATCCAAGATGGTTATCTTTTTACATGTAAATGCAATAAGTATGGAAGACAAAATGCCAGTGTTTGCGGCGCTAAGCAAGAACAATATGCATTTAAGATGTTATGGTAAGAAGATTGTTAGCATGGCTACCACAGGAACACGGTATGAGGCTGTTAATCACTTGTTTACTTCACACCAAAATATTATTTTCGGTCAACCTGAGAACATAGCCAAGATGTTCAAAATTATGAAGAAAGCACCTCAGTTAGTAATTATGGGTAGGTTACACTATATTACTATATTACTACATATTAATGAAACTTAAAGGATTAAAATTTTAATAATAATTTGACATTATAATCATTAGAAACATCTTTTAATTTCAGCCGGAATAATACAAGACAGATTGATGTCAAAGAATGAGTTGTTAGAATTTAGTCAAATGCAGAACATTGATGTGGCGAGGAGCCAGCTGTGTGCTGTACTTGATAGTGCTGGGTCTAGTCTTGTGAGACAACTGACTCAAGGCCAGCAGGTCTTGGTAGGCCATCTAGAGAAGCATGTAGAGCTCCAGAATACCACAAGCAAGGAACCTCAAGAAAGTACTAAGACAGAACCCGAAAGTACATCATAATTGTATCAATAATGTAAAGTTATTTATTAGTATAAGGTTTAGAAGAGTTATTACATTGTTTTTTTTATAGAAAACTATAATTTTTAGTTTAAAAGATTTATTATTTCTAAAGCCTTTATTAGATATTGAAGTTTAGTAGTACTTTCAATTAATTTTTTTGTTACTAACTGGAATCTTGCCTATTGGCATGGTGATAGGCTATCCCTAACAGTACAGAGCAATATATGCTACTGTGGTTATCTTAGTAAACAAACTATAAGAAACTAATTCTCCACCAGTAATAATAAAGTTTACACTTATGCTTACAGAAGAATGCATATCTTGGTATAGTGACTTTTAGTTATTCAATATTAATCTCAAACACCCAGTTTGTTATTCTTTGAGTTACAATATACCATGCAGTCAAAGTTGTCTAGCCTACCTAGTATATTATAAAATAAATATGAAAAGATACATTTCCAATTAATGATTGGAATTTAATAAAAAAAAACAAAACTAGATATTTAACTTTTTTACATAGAACATTTCTAAGCATAAAGTTTACTGCCCTATTACCCAATAGTTAAAGAGGTAACACCTGTTACCGCCTAAAAAGGGTTACCTACATTTGATTTTAGTATATATAAGTCACGAAGGTTTGTGTAGCGCCTGATGTAATGGCCCCTTACACAAAATCTCAGTACATACTTAGACCTGAGAGTTAGTGCTCCCCTGCCTGTGCCAGCAAGCAAAAAAAGCCCTAATGTTTTATTCTAGGTAAAATAAAACAACTTTTTTCTTATTTATAACATAATGTATTTTTTTCAATCTTGAAACAATCTTTGGTTGGAGTTGCGACTTATAACTACTTAGTCCAATAGAGATCAAAAGTTAATGACTATACAAGCAGGATTGCTTCCACGATCAACTTAAACTTTAAATAATACTTGAGCAACACTGTTTTCATTGGCATTACGTAATAGTAAATTTTATTTACGTAGTTGGTAAACTTAACTAAAAAATACAAACAATATTTATACTGGCAGTTACTCTATTACAAAGAGTATCTAACATTATTCTTCTTAAAAATCATAAACAAAAAATGCGTCTATGGTGTCATGGCGCAGAAATACGGCTGGTAGCAGATGCTAGAGCAGTGAGTGCTACTGCAGCTTCCACCTCGTCCCGGTCATGTCTTGACATCGTGTTTACTGAAATCCTTTGAATCTTCGCATCTGGCTTTCTCCTTTTGCCATCAGCCCACCACGAGTAGTTACACTCACTTGGTTGGAATCGGGCAGCGCTCTCTAGCCACTTGCTGAGTAACATCGGGCTTGTGATCGCTTTTGGTTCCTCGTTCCTATTTTCATTTGCATCCGATTTGTAGGAGTTATTGTTGAAGTTAACACACTTGTCTTTAATATTTGAAGAAGCGTCAGAATCGTCGTGGTGGTATTCTGTAATCGTTTCCGGACTGCCTGTTAGGTCCTCGTCATGGTCTAAGTTGTCATCTGGGTTGTTGGGATCAGGTTCGCTCCATATGCTGTCGTCGGAACAAATGCTAAACTGTTCCACATTGCCCTGTGCGCGATCATTGTATGTGCGGATCAGATGGCCCCACGTTTGCTGATTTCTATCCACATTGACATTTTTCAACTTCCTTCGCCAGTTTGCAAACCAGTTACAAATCTGTAAATAATAATTTGTTTTTCTATCATAGTTGTAGGTATTAGGTAAAACATGATCTTCCTGTTAAAACGTGGGTATTAATACAGCATAAGTTATTGGATACAGATGGCTACTATGGCTGTCGTATATGTACCTACTTACAGATATACCTAGGTATATTTAATTAGAATCATTCGTCTGTCGTCATGGTAGTGTAAGTTAATCAAGTTATTAATAAATTCATTAAATAGTTGGTAGTGAATCTGAATACAATAGTCAATCTAGTTTTTACTTAACGTTAAACGCTGAGCCGTAGTCAACAAAGCAGTGACAAAAATAGTGCCTATTTATGTACAAATAGCAATTTCTGGCATCGATCCAATTAGGTTGCTGTTAGGTACAAACATAATACCTACCTACGTGTAAAAATGAGAAAACAATGAACTTTGAAATAATATATAATTGTTATGCTTACTTGTATGTATGTGAGGCCAGTTTCGCGAGACAAATATTTTTTTTCTTCTCTGTTTGGGTACGGGTTATCTCTTCGTCGCACCAGCCAGTCTTTTAGATATCGCTTAATTTCTGGTGTGAATAGCCTTTTTTGCGGACGCTGGCCCGCCACTAAGCTCCTTCTGTAATAGTAAAAATATATTTGACAAATGCCACATTGCTAAGTAACATTAACTATTGTCTTCGATGTCGACAAAAGTAAATAACATTTTAATAAAGGAGCTTTATAGGCACCGCATGTGATGCATAGGTGACGCACAAAGAAATTTTATACCTACTGAATACTGAAAGTAATGACTCATGCATGTCAATGTTTGTTACCACTAACCGAGTGTATCGTCTGTTTCTGACAGGTCGCGAAGGTTTCGCCAGATCTTCCTTCATCGTGATGTCAGTCATGATGTCTTCCTTGCCTTCTTGAACTTTTTGAATGAGTGTCATCGGATCTTGTTTAACTTGATTTACACTTAAATGATTGTCGATATGCGTGTAGAGTAGGAGAGCGACACGTAATGTGAGGACAGCACGTGCAAGGGCACCACCGCTTGCGACACGACTCGTGTCTCGCAACACTGCCGCTGCGGGGGATGCTTACTGATCTATTAAAAAAATAAGGACATGATGACATAAATAGATCGTCTTTCAAAGAGTATACTGTTTAATTCGTGAAACAGTTAGCTAGGTAGCCGTATGTTGTAGTGGCTGCATTGATGTAACCGAAACATGACGGTCACATTCCTCAGTTCACATTTAGATGTTATTTATCCGCGATACCCTCCTGAACCGCAAATTCGGTAGTTCACATCGATCTATTTCAATACGTAAACTCTACTTTTATTGGACGTATTGTTTTAATGTTTTCGTATTCAGTAATTACCACAATGAACAAAAAACATGTTAACTATTACGTGTGCTCGAGGGTCAATGTTCTTGTTTTTGAACGGCCGAATAAAATTTAGTGTTAATTAGAGAGTTTCTTGAGTAAGAATAACACACACTGATTTATTGAAGTGATTTGTATATATTTTATTTAATTTAACTCGCGACTTATTGTTCTAATGTGAAAATTGTGGTACGTACCTGTGTGCGGGAAAGCTCGGGGATTGTGTGAAAATGGCGTCGGATAAGCGCGCGACGGTAGCGCCGCGGCGCGGGCGCATCGTCGCTGCAAATACGTGTTATTTCAGGATGTCTCCCGCGATGTCTTCAAAAACATGATTACAAAGAACAATACCTATATATTTAGGTGTATTCGGGGTTAGTACATTTATATGTGTTTTAGTTTGTGGATTTAGTTTGTAAGTAGTTGTCTGTTCTCACTGTGTTGTAGGTACTCAATGATTGTAGAGTAAGTTAATTTATTCATCAATAAATCTATTGTGGTCATCATAACCTATGAAAAATTACGAGAAAGCGTATCGGCAATACTAATTTAGTCTTAGTGGCTACTCTCTTAGAAGAAACAGTCTGTTATCGTCGCATCAGGTTATCTATTAAGTATACCAATACATTAGGATAATGACATCTTGTATCGTATCATCTCATGTGATGTGATTAGAAGACTGACACTCAGATTGGTAAAGCGATTTTTTTTTCGTGTTGTGTCTGCTTGGCAGTGTCGTTTTATTTTTTTAGTTATTATACCTGTTGTAGCCTGTGGATTTGAAGTAATGAATCAATTAGGGAATGTAATTTTTTTTATTATTTGAATAAGTTGGTATGGTTTAGCGGCTGTTGATAGGTATGTTTACTACCTATAGGTACTAACATAGGTTAGTACTTACTAATTGAAAAAACACACACACCTAACTAAGCAAACGATCAGGTAGTAGGTAACGTTTTCAGTTAGAAAAATCTGTTTGAATTCATACTGTGGTATTAACAATTTGTTATATTTTGTGCCTTAAGTAGGCCTCAGGCCTCAGCTTCACCTACAATTTTATAGTAGGAAGTATTTACCTGTTACATGTTACCACAACAATGTTTAAACCTGCAATTCATGAACTAGGTAGGTCTTCAAGCAGAGTCTAAATGAAGTCTTAAACTAAGTTTAACATTTCAATAGAAGTAATTCGAGATACAATGGTAGACGTAACACGTAGGTACCTAATAGGTGTGGTAACGCCGGCGTTCGCTAGGGGTTTGATGAATTAATTTTCAATATCTACCAATCTAGACCGCTTATGGTATCTTTGTACTATATCTCTTCGTTCATTTGCCAGAAATACATCAGTAGGAAGGCTGATTAACTTTTGAATAGCCACTCAATAGTGTACGGTATTGATATTTGGTACTAACATACTCCAGACCTAGAACGCTAGTCAATTGTTTAGTAAGTTTAGCTATAGGTAGGTTAGGTAGGTACCTATAAGTCGTATTGTAGAAATCAGGAAAAATATATTTCTAAAATTGTTACCCATAGGTACTTATTAACTCTTGTGTGCCTATTTCTTTTTACCAGGAAATGACTTAAATTAACATTACTTGTAAAATTCTTTGACATTACCAAACAAAAACTGCCAAGGCTCAGGTAGTGTCGTTATGGTTAACAATCGGCATCCAGGAACATGATGCAACTTCTTTATAAAATAACGTCATGCTGTTATAGTGCGGCTCAAGGTAAAATAGTAGAGACTAGGTAGAGCACGATTTAAACAGAAAAATAAATGCAATTATTTTATCACCAAGATTTATCGTGCACATTCAGTAATCAAAATATCTGTCAAAGTTTACAACAGCCCTGATTTTGCGGCCTGCAACAAGTTCTACTCAAACAGTGGGATTTGCTGTCTTTGTCTGGTGTGCGCACAATACAATGGTGGCGTCCCTGTCGTGCACAGCGCAGTTCCAGTAGCGCGCATGGTGTTCCGCAAGTAGTGCTCCACACATGCGCTACGGCGACTGCTCCGAGTGGTCGGGTGATCGCGTCCTTAGTAACTTCGGCTGACGTCAAGTTCGCATCGTCTATTCCAGTTTCGCAGATCATAAAAATGGTAACAGAAAGTGATTCAGTCGTGTGAGATATTCCGTGGCGACGAGTCACCCGGCGCTCTCGTCTGATACCGCGTTTCGAGCGTGGTTGGCGCGTGTATTTTACCCACGTGCGTCGCGTTTACCGGTGTTAGCGATTGATTTTTTTGCGGAATGGGTGAAGAATCTCAGGCCAGCGATGGCAAAGTGGTTTTAAAACGTAAAATAACATTGTTTAATGGAGTTGGAATTATTATCGGGACCATAATTGGTTCCGGAATATTTATATCTCCGACTGGAGTTTTCTTATACACTAGGTAAGCAGAATGTTCAAAATTCCCGCGTTTCAGCTTATGTTTTAGCAACTTGTTGGCGTGCACAAATTAATTTCTTCAGTTTTATCGGTTTGCACTTATCGCTGTGTTTAAAACGCGCTTGTTTGTTAAAAATATTTTGTAGTTGTTAAATTAAAATGTAGAAGAAATAGAAAAATCTATTAGTGTGTTGGGCTACAATAGCTCCTATTGTTTTCTTTGCATTTAGTTGTCTACATCTTTATTCGTAATGTATGTAATATGACACGCTACTATTAGTTGTGTCTGCTTCCTTGATTTCGCTGTATTGTTAGGTACCTATCTTATCAACTACATGTTTGGTTTTATTAACCTGCGCATTATCACACGGTTACTTAGATTTTATTATTACTTAGGTAATTATAATCTGCTACCACACAGTTAGAAGATACTGTAGGCACATGCTATGTTAATCAGTGTTTTCAAGGTAATTCAATGTTTGAAATAAGAGAAGTTTAAAAATAAATATACTTAAGTAGGTATGTAATACGATTGTAAATTCTTGCATTGGCTACAAAAATAATGCTCGCAATTATTATGTAAAATGTAATTGCAACAACTGTCCTTTTGATTGTTGTGATTGTGTCAATTAACTTGAATCTGTATTACTTAAGTAGGTGACACCAGTTAGTTACTTTCATATGTAAATGCACATACGACATAGTAACTAAAGGACTTATATCTACATTATTCAGGTCACTTAAAATAATGGCTTAGTGCTCTTCTCCTAAAGTAGAGATTTCTTTAACTTTAATTAACTATTACCAAGAATAAGCCGGTAAGGAATTTTAGCTGAGCTATGTAATAGAAAATTAAAAATTAAATAAAATGTTATAACAAGAGACCTACTTACTTATTACAACCTAAATAATAGTACAAAGTGCAAACGCAAACGAAATTTGTAGAACAAATTTTACTACTTTATGTAAGTTAACACTATTTAGTTATTTGAACCTTTTTCATTTTATTTGTATCAATTTGATATTTTGTTGGTACTTATTATTGCAGTATCCGAAAGGTGCAACGGCTTTTCCTAATATGTCCAATACCAGTCGTCTCACGATCATAGAAAAGAAGTGTAAATAAACCCTACAATTCATTTTTAAACGTTTGGAACGGTTTTGTGGAACTTAAAAACAAAATAAATAATAATTGAATGAAACAATGCCCTTTTAGTCTTTGGCATTCTGTAGAAATTTTGAATTTTGAATGGACCCTGTTTTTTTTCAAACTAACGGCCAGTTACCAAAATTCCGGTAACAACGTTCTGAAGTTTCGTTTCGTCCTAACAATCAGACTGCTGTCTGAAAACCACTTACGAAGCGTGGTGATTATTTATCACGAATTAGGTACCTAAGGCATGCAACCTCTTTGTTTCTGGGCAAAGGTTTTTCACTTAATGGGAGCTTTAATCGTATGTTATGTATGTAGTACTTTCTAGACTAATATGTTACACTCATATTTATCCTATGGGAGTATGCAGGAACAGTACATGAGAGTTTCATTCCTTCACCCATGGTCAATGATAGCCGTAATTTCGCATTAAAAAAAGTCAATAGCCTTTTGGCTACCTTCGAATATATATATTAGTTTTATCGATTAGTATATCTAAGTTTCGTCACGATGCTTCTCTTCTCCGTATGGTAGTGGCGTCTAAATAATATTAGAAAAGTTACATTTCATTATAATGTTGGAGTAAATAATGGTAGTGTTGTGTACTTATTGTTTAAAAATGACCACAGATTAACTATGTAGTATGGTGAATGGATTCCATAAGGCTGCGGTAACAAGGTCGTGGCACAACTCCGCCTTAACCGTCACTAAATCTAGGTTATAATGTTATCGTTCGCTTACATCACGCGATTAACTCCCCAAAAGCTGCTTATATTTATAACCTAAAGGGTTTATTACCCACTAAATATTAGATACCTGTATTATATGTATTGAAATTTGTAAAAAAAGATTGTATTGATTAGCTCCTATTTCGCCAACTTCATAGAGTTCCTGATAAACTTATACGTGTGGCAAATAGTTCATAAAATGAACGTTCCATATTCAAATTTTAAAAATGGCTATTCAGACGATGTGTACTTACTGTAAAATTCAAAAAAGTCCAATCGTAACATTCTACCTATTTTGAATCTTTGTCTACCACTCTAACTAATGTAATGTTTAGGTACTAAGATTAAGACAAGTCGTGCTTTGAATCCCCACTTAGACTGTCACGGCTCATGTATTTTACTCATTATTTTTATGATTTTATGAGTATATTCACCTTTAACAGTAGAACCAATGACAAAATCAAGAAAAAAGAACAGTTTCTATTCTCTGAAGTAATACACACTGCTTCCAAAACCAAAAGCCTCATTGTTATGTTATAATAAAAAAAAATAGATTTATACGTCCATGTGTTAGCAGTTTCTGTTCCAAATTAACAACTCCTTCATTTAAGTAATTCAACTAACTCTTATGTAAGTCTTTTTGAATAAAATGCTGTCGTCAAGCGGAATTTAGAGCCTACATTTAAGGCAGGTTTCGAAACAATTAGCAGCTGTTATGTGCTGTTATCATAAATTCGTTAAAACCTTTTGTAGTACTACGTTTTGTTTCCCAACTCTACTCTTTCGATGTGAAAATGAGACAAAATCTTCATTATTTCCTATGTAGCGGAAAACATTATACATACATACATACATACATTTAATTGATTTTTCTTAGTCTCGTCTCATCAATGGTTAATGTCATACATGGGCTTAAGTCAGGATTTTTAAAAAATGGCATACAGCAGCACTCAATTTTTAAATTTAGAATAGAATAGAATAAGCATACGTTTCGTGTCACGTTTTTAAATTTGGAGAATAAAAAGAGATTTTTTTATACTCATAGGTTTACAAAATTTGATACCTATGCCTTCCCCAAACAGTTGATGAAACAAAAAAAATGAAAATCTCTACCGTTTTAAAATTTGCCCGTATTATTTAGCAAGTTAATGAAACAACAAAATAATTACCTAGATCATTTCAAACGGTCAACATCAATCCTATTTAACCTAATTACTACTCGTAATGTGTTAAAATCAAATATTATTTTTAAATTGACTTGTAAAGAAACTTCATTGTACGATCGAGGTTAACGACCCTTCGTAGGTACCTACAACAGTAATTATCCTTTTAAAAAGGGATTAACGGAAATGCGATAGTTAATCGATTTTGGAGCTGTGGGTGTCAGATTTCTTTTAGCTATTGTATTCTAATGATAATTAACGCCTTTGTTTCGAAGTTTTTCTTTTAAACATTAGTTCTTTAGAATTCAGAATGACAGCTCGGAATTGTTACACTTCCTTGGTAGATATGGTTTTGATAATCGTTGCTTAGAATTTTGATTATGTAAAGAAAGATTGTATTATTTCATGTCTCAACTCTACGTGATTAATAAATGATATACATATGTACATTATGAATTATTGTCAAAATAAACAATCATAATTACCTATTAGGTAAACCTACATAAATACCATACCTAATGATGCTGATTTGTAATTTGTTTACTGACTTTATTGAACTAAAACGAATTTAAGGAACATTATGCTAACCTAAGTAAACATAGTTCTTAATAAACTAATTAGATATGTTAATTCTTATGTTATTAAGGTTATGAAATTAGAGATTTTGTAATAAACAAAATTTGCGAGACTTTATAGATTTATTATCAGAAATCACGAAACATTCAGAAACGCAGTAAACACCAACAATTTGATTAAAATCTTCGATTCAAATTTTAAAAATTATTGCCTACATAGATATGGAAAAATTCAAATTCGGAAATAAAAGACTTCAATGGATTCCCAAAACTTTTTGAAAAAAAAAAATCGTACTTTTATGAAAAGAATATTCCTATTAATATTTTAAACATGCTAGTTTGTATTAGGCAAGGCATGTTTGTTACTCTTAAAAGTAAAAAGTACTGAATGGATTTGAATGAAATTTGGTACAGGCATATAGGTATTATAGTTTGGCATTACACTTACACTTTTTACCGAATCCCCTAAATAAGGCAGAAGTTAGTATCATCATCAACAGCCTATAAATGCCCACTGCTGGGCAAAGGCCTCTTCTCATACGGTTTATTTATTCCTTCAGGACAAAAAAGGTGTGCAGTAATGTCGATATGATACTAATGCACTGCAGACCTTGAGATAATGACGTACAGGATTTTCCCACGCTCGTTTTTCACAGACCGACATACTTGGCTTATTTCATTCATGACTTTGTAACTAACTAGTCGACCGTGGCACTGAAACCTTTGTGGAGATGATAAACATACAATAAGTCATGCAATTTAGTATTAGAGTAGGTCGGTACTTAGTGGCACTTAAGTGGCACTTTGTTATTAATGTGTCACTTGTATCATTACTTTTTGCATGGATATTATGATCTTATGAAGTAAGAAGGGATGATAATAAATGTGCATAAATCGTAAGCAAGAGGATGACATAAGAAAATAGGTATGGAAAGATTGTGCGAGAAACGATAAATAAGTAATTATATCTACATGTCAAAGGCGTTACTGTTTTTTTTTATAAGTGAGTTCAAATATATGTAAAAGCAACTAGATTTTTCAGAAACTATAGTTATTGTAGACATTAGACATACAATAAAACAATACATTTATTTAACGTTAATGAAACATCTAGAACAATAACATCAAAGTTTAAACTTAATCCCTTATATATATATTTTTTTCAACTGTTCACACTTTTTTTCACAGATCTGTTGGCGCATCACTATTAATATGGCTGGCGAGTGGGCTTCTGTCTACTCTAGGGGCCTTATGCTATGCAGAGCTAGGGACCTCTATCACGAGGTCTGGAGGTGACTACGCCTATATCTACACGGCTTTTGGACCCCTACCAGCCTTCCTGCGTATGTGGATCGCTCTGCTCATCATCAGACCGACGACGCAGGCTATTGTGGCTCTGACCTTTGGCAATTATGTTGTCAAGCCTTTCTTCCCTGAATGTAATCCACCGGAATTGGCTGTGAAACTCCTTGCTGCTGTCTGTTTATGTAAGTACAGTTTTTTTTTAATCCTTATGTATTTTCAAGCAGATGCTCCTTTTATGGATTTAGTAGCTGTATAAACCTAATATTTTTTAAGCCATATCATACCTTTGTGCCATCTACGGATAGGTGTTCAGAAATGAAATAATCTCTAATATGATTTTTTATTTCTAAATCCCTCGTAACTTCTAAAATGACAGAAATAAAAATGATACCCCGAAAATTGCCTTGGATGTGATCTACTTTAATAAGGGATGGCTAGCCTTAATGCTTGGCAGTAAAGTTATGGTTTCGGAATCCGTTACCACGGCCGCCACCATTTTATAGGCATAAATAAGTCATGTATCAACTCATTTTATGTATAGGTAGTAGTATAAATGGAATACGAATGCCTACTCCTATTGGCCAGTGTGCCGATCTTCTTGTTCACCACTGAACGATCTTAATGTCACTCATAATAAACCTAATAAGAACTGATTTCCCCTAATGCTCTATAAGTGATGCTACTAAATTAAATAATGGCAAATCAAAATGAAATCGACAGAGTGAATTGGCTTGAATTGATGGTGAACGATATTTTTTTAAGGACATTTTAAATTGGCAACACTACTTATTTTTAAATTCGCCATCACTAAGAATAAATTACATAGATTGCTATGATTGCAGAACACAGCTAGGGTTGTCTGTGACATTTTCCAAATTCAAAATTTGAGTTCGTTCCATCTTTCTTTAAACGGAAGAGTTTACATTTCCTTTTACCGAGTATTTGCTCAAAAGCAACGCATTCTAGCATTGCCCGCGCTACTCAAGGTCAATGACATCACATTGACTTGTGACTTCTCCGCATAATAAAGAACGGAATTTTGCTGATCAATACGCAGCACTTTGTAATTATGGTTCCTTAGCAACTTTGTGGACATGTCACGTGTTTATAAAGTACATTGGGAACGTCCATTATAGTTTCCACTGCCAGTATTGTTTGGATTAACAATGATTACTTAAACTTCCCATAGTGAAAGTCATTGCCTTGAGTTTTTATGTAAACAGCCGGTAGTATGCTCTATACATCTTCTAGTTGTTAGTTTCTTTATTTTGGTCAGTCTATAATTTTCGTCGTGGTAAGATTTCGTCATTAATAACCCTTTAGTCGTGCGGTCCTCAAAGAGCCAATAGACTACCACAGATGTTCAGCCGGGATAGCAAGCGCAATAAGATATTGAGATCCGGGTCTGAGGCAGGAGAAAGAACAGGGGAGGTTTTAGTCAGTAAGAGTCTGAAACCCCCTCTCACCTTACCCTGAGCGAGAGAAGATATTCAATGAATTTTCCCTCACAGAATAATTAGGTTACCTAATTAAAGCAACATTGCATTGATTCGCATCACTAAATCAATCTAGAAACTTGTACCAATCAATAAAGCATTATGTAAGGCAGTAGATACAATATGTTTTAAGATACTAGATCTTGACTACACGAACATGACCCGAGGAAGATAAACAAACATTGTTGCCTAGTATGACTTACCTCGATACCGCTGATTACAATAGGTCGTCCTGATTTATAACGAAGCGAGAGTGAAGAATGTGTGTCAACGTAACTTTCCGATGCAACGGTCACTTACGTACATTATAGAGATATATTGCTTTATATACAGTCTCAGCGGACCCGTAGTCGTGGTTGCCAGTATTGTATTGGTAGCTAGTTACAACATCGAAATGTTATAAATCATAGAAAACGTTCTAAAAAAGAATGCAAATTAATTTGAATTCGCTATCTCTTGTTTTCTATCGCCTTCTCTCTAAGATCTCCTTTAACAATTTTAATCTTTAAACCGACAATAAACAGTTATTTATTTTAAAATTTTATTATCACATACATTAACTTGACTATCGGTCATTGAATTAGTTTAAAGACTCACATACTGGCCGTTGATAAACGACGCTACAATACCACCGTTCTTTTTTCAAATTGACCAGTAGTAGTACTCGGAAAGCAAAACTTCAAAATTCATGAATAGAATTACAATTGTTACTAGGTGATGACGTCATACGTACTGGCCCCTCTCATTTTCATATTACCAACTGTGGCATCATTTGATTCACAGTTTCATTATTTCATATCCCTCTTGTTCTTATTCTGAGAATTGGTTCCACTTTAGGACATCGGTAATCTAAAATTGAAATCCGAAATAATTATTGGCTCTACATTTTAGCACAGTTTGTTGCTCTAGAGCTGTGCCATTGATCAAAATAACAGTTAAGTGAAACGGGAAACAGAACTCGTCTTTATAATACGTAGCTACATACACAATTATTCACAGACTCTTCCAGAAACTCGAATCAAGTTCAATTGTACGAGTATCCGTTGGAAACTTGCTTGGTAACATGTTCTCTCGACTTATGCTTACATCCAACTTATCTTATCAACAAGTTGTATGTCACAAGTCATCTGCTAATGCGAAATTAATTGTTCGCCCTTTCAGCCCGTTTGCAGAACCAGAGTATTATGTATTTCTAACGGTCCTTGTCCGTTGATTTATTATATGTACATTTAACAATGGAATAAGGATACAATGTCTTCAGCTGGAGATTATTCTTTGGTCTCTTCATTTCATCTACAGTTAGCGCTGTATGAATATCGCATTACCTAAGTTAGGTTTTAGTTTAGGTTTTTTTTTTATGTAATTGGTCGGTAAACGAGCAGACAGATTACCTGATGGTAAGCAATCAGCGCCGCCCATGGACACGCAACGGAGGAGTTACGAGTGCGTTGCCGACCTTTTAGGGATTAGGGATTTGGAGATTTAGGAACTGGGGAGGGATTGGGAAGGGGAAGGATTGGGCCTCCGGTAACCTCACTCACACGGCGAAACACAACACTGTGGTTGTTTCACGCCGGTTTTCTGTGAGGCCGTGGTATCACTCCGGTCGAGCCCACCCATTCGAGGTTTCTCCAACTCTGCTATTTGCTATTGATCCGACTGTACTAACATATAAAATCGTATTGTTACGAATATATATGTCCACCTTGTTATAATTTTCCTCAATTCTTGTCGTGTTATATATAGTGTAGTGGTATATATTTGTATTTGTCGCTTCAATAGCTACTGCTAGCAAAACGAAATAGTTTCTTGGGCAAGGGAGTTCCCGATAAATTATTATTAAAACCACAAAGTTATGCATAATTTCTTTAATTAAATATGAATCAATATCAATAATTCGTTATAACTAAAAGATTAATGCATATTTCTTTACCGAGTAACAAAGTTAGGCAATAAGGAAAATGACGGACAATTCCCGTAGGGATCCAATTTTACTCAAAAAATGAATGATTTCCCTTTGATTCTCTGATGGTAAAAGATAAACAAGAATCTATAGGTAAGGAAGCCTTTAATTCTTTGATTGCATTGCGTCTCGAGGCGGATCCGCCGGCGGAAACTTCACTTAAACCAATTGCCTTCCATAGACGATCGGCTATTTGGAAACGAAGTTCCACTTCGTCAATCAACATTGGCGTAAATTAATTTACCCATAGCTAAGTAAACACAGATGTCGTTTTGTGTTTTGAACTTTGGCATTTAATGAAATTGATGACGAAGCCGCTTTATTTGGTGTTTGGCTATGATTTTCTGGAAATGGACCAATGTCCGTCTTCGGTTGAGACTTTCAATTTGTTGTTGGTTACCGTTGTAGGATCATAGGCTTTCTCCATATAAGTATTAGTGTGGTGGCCTCGACCGGGAGCAGGAGTAGAACCAGGGTGGCTTCTAGTCAAAAAGAGACTGAGACTCCCTCTCATCCTACTAGATCCTAGGGTGACACAAATGACCGATCATTTGATGATTTTTGGCCCCCAAAAGAACCATTACATTGTATATTCATAAAGTAGAGAATTTTGTATAGTTTGGATAGCATAATATTTTTTTATCTGAACAAAAATAAATTCTTTTCGTTCTATTGTTTACCCATAGCTTTTCTAGAAGGATACATAGTTTAAACTTTTTGAATGATAAGACTTATGAACTCCTTCCTCTATGATAGAATTCTGAATGTGTATCTCAATGAACTTTTGACATTTTGACGAATAGTTAGTGTTGTTAGATATTAATCTAAGGCCTTAAATAACTGTTTACCCTTGTTTTAATCTAGGCCTACCTTGTAGTAACTGATAGCAATATTTATGCGACCCAGTTACCAGAACGCGTTTAATGGTGGAACTTGTCAGCTTCAACTAATCATATGTTCAGCTTGCGGTTACGTCCTTGTAACTTGAAACTTGAAATGCATCGACAAGATACAACAACAATATATTTATTAAACTAGCCAGCCGCCCCGGCTTGGCACGGGTCGCAATGCTGGTACTAAATTTCTCCGTTATTTAATGGATGTTATTCTAACACTCTGTCTGATAAAAAAACTGCATTAAAATCTGTTGCGTAGTTTAATAGTAGTTTAGAACAAATAGCAATTACTATTTGTTCTAAGCAAATCAAATTTTATTTCATTATTTATTAATCTATTCAATGTTAATTAATATTAATACTATTTATTATAAGTATGTTAGTTTTAGATTGTGTTGTTGTGATTTGGATTTAATTTTTGTCAACTTAGCTTTAATTTTACTTTTTTGTTCAAAAATGATTAATTATGTATTTTAATAACCGCGCATAATATTATAGTACATGCTGTGCTTCTCTATAAGTAGGGGGGCTCTTAGAATTAAATTGTTAATGTACAATTTAAATAGCATATAGTATACTAATTGTTGAGAAGCCTAAAATAAATAAAAAAGAGATATAAGCATACATAAGGATACCTACAGGGATAGAGAAAGTAACTTTGTTTTAAAGGTACTAAGTAGTGATAAATACAAACAGCTATTTTAAAAAGCAATTGATCTATGTATTGGCGAAACATTTATGCAAATTCATTTATCCGTTTTTAAGTTTGTCATGGATAGATGGCTAAAGATAAGAGATTGGGATTATCGAGAGAAAAACATAAGATGAAAATAATAGTTTTTTGCGTAATCTTGAAAAGGTACACTTTCTTTAAGCTTCTATGATTTATTATACATAGATACATATATTAATATATTAAAAAAATACGAATGAACTGCATAAAATGGATCAAAGCTAATAAAAGATATCTACTATTTAGCTATTCCGATATTTATATTGCTTGTTTTTAGTATCTAATCTAATATGGTTTATCTTAATCACAGTGATACATCAATGTGATGATCGTGTGAATATAGTGTGATCTTTTTATATGAAAGGTCGCTCATGCGAATTTGTAGTGATGTGATAATATTAGGTATAATATTAGGTTATCTAATATCTTTTATTGTGGTATCAGTATTACGGTTAGCGAGTACGATTCATAATTAAAATAATCGTCTCGTTGCTATAGTGACTTCGAAGCAACGGGTCTAGTGTTTGATCATTTACGAATGTATCTATACGTAATACTAGCTAATCTCGCGCGGTTTCACCCGCTGCTCGGTTCCATTTAATAATAGCGTGATATTTTATAGCCTGTAGCACTCAGGAACATTGTAGCTATCAGTGAAAGAATTTTGGCAATCCGACCAGCGGTTCCATAGATTACCCCCTACATACATATTTACAAACTCACTAATTTATAATTACCTCTTTATAATATTAGTATAGATGTATAATTTCTTTATCGTTTTTTGTTACTTTGACTAAGTTGTAAAATTCCTCGATACTCTAAGGTTTCGAGGACTCTTTAGTAATCCCTATGAAAACAGTCATGGTTTTTTTGCTCCTCCTTTTCCATAAGAATGTACATGGCAGTGCTTCACTAACGGACTATTCTACATATATTGTTCAATGTTCATTATTGGTTGTGGTTCAGTTGAAATAAAATTTCATACAAATTTAATTTTGACTTGTTGTGATGTCTCATATCTCAATCTTTGATTCGTTCGCCATCTTTCAAAAAGTCGGTATGACAATGCTGCGTTCAGTCATAAATTAAGGTCTTATCTACTTTTAATTTTAATTAAAGTCTCGTGTTGCACAATCAAATCGATCTTTTGATTACATATCACAAAATATTTGTAGGTACGTTCTATAAATTTTTATTTTGTGTAGTTTCGATTCAAAGATTTATATACCTATATATATGTAAAGGAAACTATTTTATTTATATTGAAGTGTCCTAAAAGTTCGCCGCTTTTATTGTGAGGGGAAATTCGTGAAATGACTTTTCCCGCCCAGGGTGAGGCGAGAGGGATTCTTAGACTCTTACTGAAGAAAAACCACCCTGTTCCTACTCCTGCTGTAGGCCAAGGCCGTGGTGTCTTAATGCGCTTGTCCAGCAACCGTGGTTACCAGTCTTCTGTGCATACTGCTACACTTTGCAGACAGGTTAAAGACCTTGTGGTCACTCGCCACACGGTTCTTTACATAAACGTATGAAAGAAAAACTAGACTGGCAGCGAAATAAGACCCGGAACTGTTTCGTCTGGAAGCAAATGATGTGTTTAAACGAACCTAATGATTCACTGAAACTGGATCACTTGGGGCAATTTATTTCGCAACGAAACTATCTACAAGTCGTGCATTCAACCTCGGCAATGTGAAACAATCTTTGTGTCTTTGCCAATAAGGTAGCCATTTGACGTGGATGCTGCTCAATTCCCTCGTTCATGTGTTTTATTTTAATGATGCGAATGATAAGGACTGTTCATTAATTTCATGAAAAGATTCGTTATCTGTTTGGTTGTCATCGGTTTTCTGTTCTGTCGCAGGTTATTACAAAATCAATTCAATCTTAAAAGCAATAAAAATCAATTGCGAAGGCAACTTTTCCCTTGTACTTTCAGTAGGCAGGTATAACTTGAAATAACTATCTTGTGTAATGTAACTCAAATATACTATTGAACATTTTAACATTGAAAATCTAATAAGGAAGAAAAAAGAAGAGAAAAGTTCGAAATAGATTCGTCTTTTGTGATATGAACGTGACCTTTTGTATTTCTTAAATCCGAACAGTTGCAAATAGCGCACTCATACAATCAAACTCCTTTATTCTTTAAACACAAACTTAAGGAAAATTACAAGATACAGTATACAATAATTAGACTCAGTCGTCAAGAAATAAGATCTCTCCTATGAACAAAGGACAGAAAGAAGAAGTAACTGAAGAAACAAGAAAAAATTGAGAACAGAATTTAATGATAGATCAGTCTTGATTTTGAGTGCAGCAGAAGAAGAAATAGTTTGGTTTTTAGTCAGTAAGAGTCTGACACTCCCTCTCACTTCATCTAGGTTTAGGGCAAGACCGCATCTAGCAGATACCCTCAAAGAAGTAAAAATAATAACAATGGGGACAAGTGTGTACGCACTGTATCCAAATAGTAAATTAATGTTTACTGCAGTCGTAAATGGTCTGAGAGAAACCAGACTACTTGTTTACGCCAAATACATGTATTATTTGTATATTGTCCTTGACCAAAGAGGACATATTAGAATTTATAATTCCACCATCACCAGCTGTGTGTGTGTGTGACTGATAGAAGTTAGTTTTGGTTTATGTTTTTATTTATCATCAATTATTTCAATCAAGATCATTTTGTTTCTTTGAATCTTTTTGGCATGTATCGGGGAACATTTCATCGTGAGTGTTACTTCACGCCGATATTCTGTAAGGCCGTGGTATCACTATGGTCGTGGCGCCACACTTATGTAGTAGATACTATATAACGTGAACTATGTGACACGACTACGGTACAGAATTTCGAAAAACCACAATGAATCGTCCATTTTAGTGAGGACTGTGTTTTGAAAAGAAATGTCAGTATACGCCTCTGTCGTAGTTGTCTTTACAAGCATACAAATTCACATCGCAACCGATTGGTTGCCTGATTAGGCAAACCAAAACAGTTGATAATAAAAAACTCTATGCTAACATTCAACTCTTCGAAAGTAGGAAGTACCTACTACTGCTTTTGTTTTTTTTTTTCTTAATGTTGCACCAAATTTGGATTTTCTTCTGTGGCGTGGGTGCTTTTACAAACATACCTACAAATTCACATACACATAATACCCAGACCCGGAACAACATCTTGTGGTTCCCACAAATAGTTGATCCGAGCGGGAATCGAACCCGCGACACGTTGCACAGTAGCCAGTTGCCCAGCCACCGCACCAATCGTACAGTCTAAATCGTGGTCTAAATGATCTAAATAACGGAAATGCAAAACCAAAAACTGATGACATTAATAATCAAAATAAGTACTAAGAAAGTCTGAGTGACTTGATTGCAGACAGAAGCTTATTTGAGTCAATATAATTTACGATCAAGCCGTACAAATCAATTGGTTCTGATTTAGTGATAGCATATACATCGCTCGTTATGTTAAAAGGCTGTTTGTTCTCTTGAACTTAACTAGAATGTTCTTTAGAAATTTACTTGAATTTACAAGAGATTATATACAATATGTAGGTATTTTATTTATTTATTTATTTATGCTTTATTGTACACAATGAAATGAAGTTGGTACAAAAGGCGGACTTAATGCCATATGGCATTCTCTACCAGTCAACCTTTAAGTCAAGTGGAAAATCTGCGAAAAATAGGTACGGGAAATATGTTTATACGAATTAAATAGAATAAAATATTAAAAGACAATACTATATAGATACATACCTACATATATCGGGATATATAGTAAATAGATAATAGTAGTAGTGTATTTATGTCAGTTAATCTGAACATCAGTTACAATTTCAGGTTTATTGGACTACGTTTATTTGTGTATTCGATACAAATTTATTGGTCATTCGATAATATAGACACAGTCACTAGATACCTACATAAATGAGGTGTCAAAGGTTTTTTTGAGGGAATATTTTTTTAATTTCATGATAATAAGATATAGGATATAGGTATACCTTCACCTTTACATAGATACCTTTATATGATTACTTTATATAAATACCTTTGACTTTTGTTTTAACATGCTTGTATTTAAAGACACGATTATTAATATTGAATAGGATGAATTCCAAATCAAAAACATGGATAATGTTTATTTGCACGGTTGGCTCAGTGACTGGAGTAGCTGTGCAACGTTTAGCCGATTTAATTCCCCCACGGAACAATTTTTATGTGATCCACAAATTGTTGTTTTGGATCTGGGCAAGATGTGTACCTATATGAACATTATACATTTGTAAACCCAAACATCACACTGAAAAAAACTTTATCTATCTAAGTATAACATGAAAAAAATGATTTCCTGATAACTTGAGATTTCAAAGAGCGGCAAAGTATTTGTAACTTCGCGGGTGTTGTGGCTATATTTTAGGTGGCGTTGTACATTTACCATTAGGTGATCCTCATGCTTATATCCCAAAAAGATGTGAATGTTGGAACAATTAATACTAGACGTTTTTAATCGTTTTTTCTCTATCTTCAGGTATCCTAACGGCTGTGAACTGCATCAGCGTGAGATGGACGATGAGGATACAAGATGTATTCACATCATCCAAGTTACTGGCGCTGGTCGTGATCATCATCTCTGGAATCTATTACATCTGCATAGGTAAGTTGAAATCATCATACCATTGTCGTCATTACCATCGTCGGTCAGAGACTTGCAATCCTCAAACATAATGTAAAATTCTTCTTAAAGTTAATGTGCCAATTTTTAATTCAAAATAACGACTTTCTCACGTGATTTAGTGAATTTTCTCACGTGATTTAGTGAATTTTTTCTACTACGAGTAGTTTCAAGCCACAACGGGACTCTTATTCCTAAGCGGCGTGCGTGTCGTGGTGACGTCGCCGCTTTCTTCTGCTCTACTCTGTTCTCTTCTCTCTCTGCTCTGTATCTCTCTCTAATCTAAAAAACTGTATCGCGCTCTAATGTCAGTTAATTTACGTGAGTAAGTCAATTTAGTATCTCACGATATAGGTGCCATTACAATAACAATACAAAATTTTCCGTGGTTTTTGGAGCCCGGGCTTCTCCCAGTTGTACAGTCTCTTCCCTGCCTTTAAAGCCTAACTCATTCAGTCTCCAGTATTAAATTTGCCGATTTGGAAGTGGAAACTATTTAGTTTTTTCTTCTCCTCAAATAATATCCTCAAATTTATTTTGTTGCGGGATCCTTCATGTCCCTGGGACGCGCCGGACTTCAGTGTTCCGGTGTTTCAAGGTTGTATCTCCTGTAGATCCTGGCTTACAGGAGTTGCAGTGGTTTCGGGAAGTTGCGGCGGGATTTCCTATTAAAAAAGAAAATATCTCACTATAGTTCCTATAAAAATGTGTCATTTTCCTTATTCTTTGCGGAAGTTTTAGGAAACACAGGTAGATCACAAATTTTTTGGAGGACATTATTTCCTCTGAGGCCCTTTACTGTTACATAAATTGCAGTAAGTTGATCGCAATGTAAAAAGCAGGCGATGGCTCGCAGTTAAGTGTCGTCGTTTACTTAATATGTACAATCATTCTTAAGGAAAATTATTCATTTAAGTAGGGTATTTCCCATTGAATTATTCATCAGTTCAATTACATCGCGATGCTACGAGGAAGGTAGATTAGATAAATATAGGTTGTGAAATGACAAAACCATTACTCAAAACTGTAGAAGCAGATATTGCCTATGTATCACATTTATCTTTGTTGGTGTGTGGTCCATTTAATAGCAAAATTTACAATTTAATTAGAGCTTAGCTTCATCTTTTGGTTTGTAATCTTTTCACATTTCGTTTTCTGTTGACAAATTTGAGTAACAATTATTTAATACTTGACTTCTTATGACGAAGGAAAACCTTAAAGGTCGTCATGTTTTTTTAGAAGTAAGCATAGTGGGTTGTGAACAGTCTACCACTCACAGCACACAAAAATCATCTAGGTTTCCACCACCAGCACGTCCAGAACCTATAAGTTGCACCGAGTCTTAAGATGAACAAGGCCAGCATGACTTTAATTATTTATTTATCGATGCCTTATTGTATACAATGACATGAAGTTGGTACAAAGGGCGGACTTAATGCCATATGGCGTTCTGTACGAGTCAACCTTTGGGAAATATAAACGCAAATCCCATCCAACTGAAATGCAGTTCAAACTGCTTCAGGAAGTGTGGATTGCACTACACATATATATTTCTCTGCGTAGATAACAATAATGACTGTTATCTATATCACTGATAAGGTTCGTATCTGACGTATGGATTCTCCATCGTCTGTAGTCGTTGATAACAGCTTAGTGGGTCAGCTTACGGCTAAACTGTTTGATAGCCCAAGGTCGAGAGGAGACGATCATATGCTTGTTGTTACGTGATGAAATTGATGATCCATAAAATTAGCACAATTATGTTAGGTTCTTAATGGAATACGGTTTAGCTTATTTAAAAGAGACTGTCAATCTTCTTGTCCTCGATTTGAAAGTAGAAGTCAAAATCATTTATTCCAACTAAACCATAAATAGGTACTTTTGAAACGTCAAAATAGAAAAGTAGTCTGTCAGACTGTTCGTCAGTGAAGCTAGGTGCTCATTCCAAGTTGTAGATTCGAATGGAGAAGAATGAGCAAGAAACTCCATATACACACATACACCTCCTCCGTGTTTATGCATCCAGAAATCAGAGAAAGCAAGGGTACAAGGCGAGTTATTTATTTTTAATTTCACCTCTTGATCCCCAAGCGAACGCGCCATACTATAAAAATATCAAATTAAACACAAATAAGGAAATATAAAAGAGTTCTGTGTTGTTGGTCATTAAAGCACCTTAATAAAAATAATATTTACTATTCCAAAGATTAAACAAAATTAATACTTGGGATATTTTTTGTTATGATTATCCTAACTGCCTATCCTAATAGTTTATTTAATTAGGAAGACGTAATTACCGTATCTACGCGGGTCAATGAATCTGCGTCGTCGTTAATGTGTCAAGCTATTTATGGACGACTACCAACTTTTCCATGGACACCACCTACTGATATGGTAATCCGAACAGGTGGATCCGTCCGCGATAAATATTATTTATAACTTTATTTTATATGTAATTAGGACCAGTTTTAATTGGCTGCATGTCTATTTTAATTTCTAAGTAGGTAGCGATAGAATCTTGTAGGAGTTATTTAATAAAAAACAAAAACATTGCCCTACACTATGTATTTTTCCAGTGTCGTGTATATGTGTTTACATACATGCAACAATTTGTGGATCTCATAAGGGGAGTAGGATCGAACTAGAATGAGAAGGCAGCCAGTAGCCAAGCTACCGTTGTCAGCGAAACACTTACTCAAAGCTTTCAGTTGGCTATCAGAAATATTATTACAGTTACGTGTCTTATCATCTTCATCACCATCATCATCAGCCTGATTTCGTTCATTACTGGAGATAGGCTTCCTAGATTGCCACTGAGCTCGATGTTCAGCTTTTCTCATCCAACCACTGCTAGCCACCCTGCGGATATCGTCAGTGTGTGTTCGTGTCTATGGTTTACACGTTATGTGACGTAACGTGTATAATGATTGTAATTCCTGTGTGTGTGTATGTGTGCGTACTTTGGTCATAATTTTTTGCAACAATATGTCTCTGTTATTTGATTTTATGGCCACCTGACCATAGGCGGCGCTGTAGGCTTACCATCAAGTGAGCCGCTTGCTCGTTTGCCAACCTACCCCATAAAAAACAAACTAAGGCATTAATAAACTCTTTCGTAATTTTCCAAAAGTTTGATTGTTGTTATGGCCTAAAATGTTCTGGAAGTTAATCGAGACATCGGTAAATAACATCTGACTGGGGGCTTGGCACAACTGGATTAATTAATTATATCGCCACAAACGTAGCTATTAGATGTTATTGGTGTGTTTACAGAGACGTTATGAGTCATGGGCAGTTGAGATGTGTATCTTTCCATCTAATGAAATGCCTGCATAAACTTATATTATATTAACATATCAATCATCTAAGGTTTCTAATGGAATGCCTGCTTAAACTTATATTAAAATTTCATCATGGTAATCCACACCAAATTAGTAAGATTTGGTGGGCGAACGCCGGTGTTCGTTTGGCATTTGATGAATATTTGGAGATAGATAAGAGAGTTTGGGTAACACTGTGGTACGGCCCCATGGCTTCTTCTCTGTCTCTTTGTTAATTAGCCCTTAACTCATCTTAGATAAGTCGTACCTAATCCGATTATGTGAGCAATTCAATGATGATCAACGAGACACACATATATACATCTGTGACCACATTGGCACAGTAAAAAAGTTACCCCGATATATACATAAAAGTGATAACAAGTAGTCTGAAACACAGGCCAGTTAAAACAAAATAAAAATGGTAATGTATAATTTTCTGACAGATCCAGAATATAATTAGGATTTTAGATCTCTAAATTCTTATTTGCACTTATCTACAGTGTGGAATATTGTGATTGAACTACCTAGTCCATTGAATTAGCTTTTATTTTATTGAACGAAAAAAAAACAATTGCTGTTGAAAGTATTTTAATGTGACAGGCAATTAATACTGTACCTACCTAGGTGAAAAACGCTGTGAGATTTTCTCAGCAAATGAAGTTAAGTAATTATTACTATTGACTAATAAGTACTTACAGCTTTTTTACGTTTTTCCATTAAAATCGTAAAATATTGTTATGTAATGAGAAAGTAAGTGCTTCCACCTGTGGACAACATATTTTTTATTTGATTAGGTACTCTATTATGAAATGGAATAGAAAGTGTAGAAAGTTTGAAGGGCCAGTTACGTACTAAACATTGATCACAATCGCGTAAACAATTTCTTTTAAGTGTATTAAGAGACTTGTATTTTGTCGATTGAAACTGTAGAAAGTTGAAGGCCATAAAATATGTATTTGGATTATGTTCAGTTTTAATAACTATTTTTTTACTGACTTCTTTGACTGCATGGTTGGTGCGTTGACAGAGGAACGTGTCGGCCGACACGGAACAACTCTGTGCGATCCACAAATTGTTGTTCTGGGTCTAGGTGTGATATACTGGGTATATTTGTAAACCATCCACGGCACAGGAAAATATTTCACAGAGTGGGATAACGTTCATTTAGGAAATTAGCGTCTTATACATACGTATCTAAACATCGACATCCTTCTCCACCTTCCCTCAGAGAGCCAATAGACCATCACAGAAAGGGCTGTATAGGGCCGATGTTCAGCCATTGTTATGGGGCAAATACAATAAGGGTACCGCTGCCTGCCTTGGCCTAGAGCATGGTCGAGTCAGTTAGAGTCAATCACTCCCCTCGCCTTATCCTGGTCAAGATCGAGAGAAACCATTCGAAGATTTTCCCCTCACCTCACTAACGAGCGCCGGCGTTCGCTTGGAATTTGATGAATTAAGGAACTAGTACCATTACAAAATGTACTTAACATAATTTTTAAAATAATACTTACCTATTTTTCGTCAATACCAATTAAAAGTTGTTAGTTAATTATGTAAATATTGAATAATACGATAACCTATAGGTTCCACCAGTAAAGATTTTGTCCCGCAACTAAATTAACTCGATAAATATAAAAAACAAACATTACTTACCTAAATTAGCTCGATAAAAATAATTATTCTTAACATATGTAATTAGTTACATAAGTACTTCTTGGGAATAACGTATCTTTGTGTAATAATAGTATCCTCATTATAAAGTTCGTAAACATTGACAGTGACTAAACATTACATTTTCGCACCGGTAGAGGCGCCAGTGTGGATTTTGGCGCAACAATATTTTGAACCTTTTGTGCTTAAATTTATTTTCAAGTTTACTTTCATGTATAGACAATCTTTTTCCCCGTGAATTTTTATTTTATTATATGTAGTTATTAATCATTCAATTATGCCGCGATAGTTATACCTACCTATTGTAAATACAATAAGAAATATTCGAAGACAAGTCGAAAAAACTTTTAGTAGATGTATTATAATATACTTATCTATTTTCAATAGTGTTTAATAATAGTACCTAGATTTATTGGACAATGGGATAATGCTTTAGGTAGGTATGTATGTAAAGTACAAATGTACCTAAGTAAGTAGGTTTATCACGATGCATAATGTATACTATTTTGCTGACATCAAAGCTATCAATGGAGGCATTCTTTCATTATTATGATTTATGCATCGAATAGCCTCTCTCTGGTGATATTATGTGCGAACGCAATAAATTAATCAAACGTCTGTCTTAAGTAGGAAAAATTATGGATTCCTCTGAGCATTTTGAACCTTATACTAAAGTACATAAATGTGATTATTACCATTAGGCTGGCCATTAGTTACATGAACGTTGTTCTTGTACAACTTGTTGATAAGTTTTATTAATGGTATAGAAATGAAATATTATATTCATTGAAGTATATGTTTGTCTATATAATATAAATATAAATGAATATCAATGTCTCATAGCTATAACATCACACGTGACTAGAGCGATTCCGATAATTCTTTCAATACTGCTTTTTTGGTAAGGTTTTTTCTAAAGGAAATTTTGTTAAAAGAGAGGGATGGAATACGGAAAATAACAGCCCAAAAACACACCTAAATGGACAAGTAGTTGGACATCAGTATTAGTACCAGCAGACAGGGTGCTTGTTATCTATTCATTACACTATTCACTATTGTTGACTGATCTTAAGGCTACGCCACGGTATTAATGTCATCACAAATATTACCGTGGCTTCGCAAAGAGGCTATCATTATTTATTATTTTTAACTTTGTTCATTGTCTACCACGACGGCCAGTAATATCTTATCATTTAAATCTCTTTCCATTTTAATATAATCTATATTTAGTTTTAAAACATTGGAATTTAATCCATCATGGAGTTTGCATGACAGTGATGTTTTATCTGTTGAGGTTTTTAAACGGAACTTCATAGTTTTTTGATATTATTTTGGTTTTAGTATGCTAATAGGTACAAACTTCCTTATGGCGCCATTAAAAGTATTGTCAGTTAAGAAATGAATTATTAATTATTGAAACTTGAAAATGACAAACTAAATTTAGGAGTAGCTGTATTTCAGTTAGTGTTGTAATAAGGTTAATAAATAAATAAAAAAAATATTATTAAAAAAACAAAATACCCGACTGCACACTAAAAAAAGAGTAAAACAAGCCCCACAATACAAATTTACTGAATATAATTTATAAATGTTGATGGAAAGCATCGCAGGCGGGGACCAACAGAGGCTTATTTATAGTCATTTCTGTTGTGCACCATTTAGCAGAATTTTCGTTGGTGGCGGTCAAGGTGGTCCCCGCCTGCGATGCTTTCCATCAACATTTATAAATTATATTCAGTAAATTTGTATTGTGGGGCTTGTTTTACTCTTTTTTTAGTGTGCAGTCGGGTATTTTGTTTTTTTAATAATATTTTTTTTATTTATAACTTTTTAGCTGTTTTTATTTAGAAAAAATATTATTATGTCTTTATCCCGTGGGACTTTTAGGATAAAATGTATCCTATGACACTCCCGTAATCAAGACAAATCTAACGATACCTCATACATCAAAATCCATCAAGCCGTTTAGGCTACAGGAGGTCACAAAGGAAAAGACATACATACATACTTACATACACTCGAAAAACATTACCCTCCTTCTTTGGCAGTCGGGTAAAAAGGTAATAAGGTTGTAATAAGTTGCAGTTAGCATACCGCGGCCCTGGCCTGTAACTGGAGAAGGAATGAACTGTTTTTTAGTTAGTAAGAGTCTGACACTCCTTTGAAGAAGACATTTCATGATTTCCATCCCTCAAAAAGTTTTATTGCGGGTGCAAACGCAATGATTGGTTGGTTGGTTTGGTTTTTAGTCAGTAAGAGTCTTAACTTTCCCACGTCTCACAAGGCGGGAGACGCCATTTTGATAATTTTCCACATGTAAAAAAGCGCTGTTGTTTATGTTCGATTTTCGTACTCTCAACTTTTTGAGTTTCCCGTTGAATCCATTCAAATTATTTTTGATGTTTTTATGATCAAGGCCCTGAGCTCATCATGTTTTCTGATGTGTTTTCACCACATAGAAGAATTGACATTAATAGCAACAGATGTATGTACATAGGTATTTTTTATTGATTTTTATAAATAATTATTTCTCAGGTCACACGGAAAACTTCGAAGGAGCTTTTGAAGGAGAGTTCAGTGCCGGGAACATCGCACTTGCTTTCTACTCTGGTTTGTTCGCGTTCGGTGGGTGGAACTACCTCAACTTCGTCACAGAAGAACTACAAGATCCGTACAAGTGAGTATTTATTTATAAAATGCCGAATTAGTGTAGTATTTTCTGTGTTTTTTGATCGTAGCGAGATGTTTTATAGCATAGCACTCAGGAACATTGTAGCTTTGTATCAGTGAAAGAATTTTGGCAATCCGATCAGCGGTTCCAAAGATTACCCCACATACAAACTTACAAATGAGAGTGATTAAAGAGGTAATCTTTGTAATATTAGTATAAATATAGATAGTATAGATTAGGCAGCCCAAAGATGGTAAAAAAAATACCAAAAAGTCGACGACACTAGAAAAGTGATCGACAAATTATTACGAAGGCAGAAAAACAATATCATTGAAAATGTAGAATAAGCGCTATAATATAGTTATAGACAGCAATGAAACAAATGAAGGTGTGTTTTCAAACTTAACTCGAAGCTACAATTTGTGGATCTCACGTTTTAGCTTCGTGTGACGAATGTTCTTTTGGGTACACACCATGTTTTAGAGTAGTCGGTCATCAACCCTAGAATCTATGAAAAAAAGAAATGTTAGCAAAGATAAAACTTTTCTGACAAAAATATCTACTTACAAATAATATTTCTGTCAACTTTAGCAATTACTTTTGCGCTATAACAAGATAAGAAAAGACTTTCCTTATTCTCAATTCGTAAGTGGCATCATTGTGGAGGAAACACGTGCGTCTTTTCCGATAGGTATATACTATTTTTATCTGGTATCTAGGTTTTAGGTCTTTTTGGTCTGCTATTTATATGACTTCTAATGACCTATCCGAGCTTTACACGGGTGCAGTACCTACTGACCAAAGTAATTTCTCATGTGTTAAGAAAATTACATTAAATTCCGTTAAAGATTTAAGCATACATAGAGACAGAGGAAGCGAATTTGTTTTATACTATGTAGTGATATATGAGCCTTCTTTATATTCGTAAGTATGTTTGCTATAACCCTTATACGCTTCGCAGTTCTCACATAATTGAACCAACTGTTTGTAAAAGGAATCTGTATGTGAAACTGATTAAAAAAGAGTAACCATGGAGTTTCTAGCTCGTTCTTCTCGATAGGAATCTACACTTTGGAACGAGCAAATAGCTTCACTAAGAGGACTGAGCGACAGACTGACACTATATCTTCAAAATTTTACCTGTAATGGTCTAATTGGAAAATGATTTTTTTTACTTTTGCAGGCGTAATAAATGTCATGTTTAATAGAGAACGCTGTTGACGGTTTCTGTCAAATGTGTAGATAGACACTTAATCGGCTCTTACGACTAAGAATAAAATAATTAAAGCGTACTTATATATACTTAGTTATTGTAAGTGTGTCATAATGCGTTGTGATGCTCCGGAAGCCCATCGGATTCATACATATGCTTACCTATTTACGACTATAGTTAAAGACGCGTGGCGTGTCGCGTCGTATGCTGTCAAATGTAAACGGAGCCTTTTGTCAAGTCACAACACGCCACAACACCTAATTGTATCTCCTTACCTTAGTGTTAAATTGATAAAAACTACCTAGTACACACAATTACGAGAACACAAAGTTTTCTTTTTTTTTTTGTTAGTTGTAAGCTAATAAAGTTAAACTCTAGTTTATATTGTGCCATACTTATGAATATCAAAGATCAAATTAAGCGAAAACCCATAAAAAATAAGTTGATTTTTGATAAATAAAAAAATATATTTGTTCCCCTAATTTTACCGGCTTAAACACTTAGCAGAAAGTAATAGCATCCCTTACTTTATTTATTTACTAGCTTCCGCTAGCGGCTTCGCCCGCATGGTATGTTGATAAAAAGTAGCCTATATCCTATTCCGGAGTCTATCCTGTGCCAAATTTCATCCAGATCCGTCCAGCCGTTTTAGCGTGATTGAGTAACAAACATCCAAACATCGTAACTTTTTTGCAATTATAATATAAGTAAGAACTAAGATTCTTTATAATAAATAACTTAATCATACTCTGATCATCTTATATACAGCTTCCTACATTCACAGGAACAAATTGCGTCATTCAAAGAACCTAGAGCTCACAAAAGTACCTATTGGTGTCAAGATCGACTATTTGGTACTAGATTCGCTTAGCATGGCTAGAATTACCAACACCCACACTAGATAGATATTTCTATTCTTTAATCCTTTTCAAGTAGTCTAGCTGAGTGTTCTGTAAACAAACCCCCCTCTTCTCCCCTCTTCTTTTATTTGATGTTGAGATAAAAGCTTGACTGTGTGCTTCAGATAAGCTGCTCAATGAAGCGTTTTTTTCTGCAATGGTAACTTTAGATCGGTATTTAAAAGACCCCACATTGTTGCGTACCGCGTATTGGGTAAGCGTTGATAGGGTTAATATTTATTTATTTGTTTTAAATGAAACCTTGCTTCGCTTCTACGGGATTCTTAAAGAGAAAATAAAGCAGACAGCAGTATTTAACAGTTAATTCTGAAAAGTAATTTCAGGTAATACGTAAGCAACATACGTAAGAACAATTAAAAAAGACCAATTTGAAAACTGACCCGCCATAATTATCATCTTACAGACAGACATTCAAATGTTATAGCGAGGTTATAGCATTCATGTCAAAAAAACTCACTTATTCACCGTACTTACGTAGCCTAAATATAATTTAGATCAAATATACTTATGATTATAATTATAATACCAAGTAGGTACTTAGGTACAAAATACGTTTATTAATATTTTAAGTTATACAGATTATTTTTATTTTACGAATTGCGATACCTTCTTAGTATAAAACAATTAGATACGATATTATTGGATAAATAATGACTATTATTATACATACCTATACTTAGCTATGGAGGTATAGTAGGAAAAGGATGCTGTTTTATTCATTACAGAGGCAAGTGTTGAGTGTTCTCTCTTCTATTGCATGTTTTATTCATCACGACGATTCACAGTTCATTGTGAGTAGTGAACTAGACGATTCGGTTTATTTACTTGAGAAGAACTACTTATGTTTACGAACGTATTTTTGTTAGCAAATGTTTTCCTTAAATATTGTTAAAGTGGGACTCAGGCTTGGATAGGAGAAGTCTTGGAACAGAGACAGTTTAGTCAGTAAGAGTCTGACACTCCCTCTTATCCCTCCCATCCTGGGCGAGACAAGTCAGTTGATATTTTCTCTTCTTAAAATAAGAAAAAGTTGGTACTTTATTTTAGGTAAACTTTATTATTATAGTTAGATACTTATAACCTACATACTTGACATTAAAAAGACTTTAACGTAGTTATTCCGAGGCCCTAATAAGTACTTACCAATTTTTGTTAAGTAATAACAATCTCAGTATTTAGATTTTCAATAATTTTAGGTAACTATCTAGTCTCGTGCGGTTTCATAGGCTGCCCAGCTCCATTTTTTCGTAGCGTGATGTTTTATAGTCCATAGCACTCAGGAACATTGTAGCTATGCACCAGTTTATGAATTTTGGCAATTCGACCCGCGGTTTCAAAGATTACCCCCTACCCCCTACATACATACAAACTTACAAACTTTACCTCTTTATGATATGAGTATACAGTGCGGATAAAATATTACATATTACATTACTTCCTGTAATAAAGAAGAAAATAAACTGCACAATACGGCTGTGTCATCTCAAATATTCTCCATATAAAGTAATAAGTTTTTATGGGAAATACTTAAGTGCATTCCTCCCTGTTTCAGGAATTTGCCCCGAGCGATATGGATCGCCATGCCGATGGTGACAATTATCTACGTGATGGCAAACTTGGCCTACTTTGCCGTCGTCACCAAATCTGAGATGATTGTGAACTCTGCTGTTGCTGCGGTAAGAAAATTAATTACAATTTAACATCCTATGAACTTCGCTCTTTTGATAGGGAAACTTTCCAAGTTGTCATATTATTTGAAAAAGATTAGGAAGTGAAAGATTATATAGGAAGATGCTAAAAGTCCTTTAAAATAGACCAGTTAATCATATCCGTCGGTTTGATACTCTCTCACATTATGTTATTTTTACATTGTCTGGACTTGAAAAGAGACTGACCTCTGAGTTTGTTTCGGCATTTCTTCTCAGAGTAGTCAGATAGGAAATGCCGGCTTCTTATAGTTTTTCACATATAAATTGACGTGTAAAAGTGCCGTTTTATGGCCTATTTGCAAAAATAAATTCATTGTTTCATTGTTTCAATGATAGGTTTAAAAACTATCTTCTTAAGTCCTAAGGCAAACAGACTAAAGACGAATAGTCTAGATTTAAAATAAGAATATAATATTTGATTCGTTATTAAGATCATCACGAATTATACATTACATTATTATGAAGTTTTTATGACCAAATTCCAGGAAGAGGTTTCTATCCGGTAATAAAACGAACATTAAAATAATATAAAAAATAGTATTAATACACTCTATCGCTACTAACATTAGGGCGTTAATACAGTGGCAGTTCAGCTGTAAATCAGGAAAACTATTAAATAAAATATTATGAATGATGTAACTATTGTGATCGTTAAACTGTGCTAGTTATAGATATTTGTAATTGTAAATACACGTAGGTATATAGTAAGTCGGTGTCGTTTGTGACTATTTTTATTTTCGTATAAGTAGTTATCGTAAAGTTAAGCTTTTGACTGCCGATTGAAAAATTAAGGCAAAAACCACCGTAAGTCAGCGGTTACGTGGCGGTTACCGTGTTTGGTGTCAATGGTCTCCTAGTCTTAAGGCTCCGTTTTCACCTACGTCAAAAGTCAAGAGCAATCCTTGAGGACTTGCACAGACAGAACGTCTAGCCTGACTGACTTGAGCCTACAGCATTATTTTAGTCTCATTCGTGGGTTGGCAGGCACAGTTTATAGTGAACCGTTATTGACAAAAAATGTACCCCGTGAATTCCGGGATCCGGGATGCGATTAAGTCAAGTTTTCGTTAAATCTTTTTTATAATTTGGATTGATGCTTGCAATTGTTTACTCAAGCATTCACAAAATGTTTCTATTGTTTTAAACTATTACAAAAATTACATAAATACTAGACAGTGATGTTACGAGGTACCTACTCATATTAATTTATAGTCTATCTATAAATTCTTCCAGAAATAGCCGACGTGACAATGTGACGTGTAGAGTCCATACCTACGTTTCCATTCACTACGGCCATATCTCTTAGAGTTGTTATTCTGCAGTAGGTAAAGTGATTTATTGATTTATTTATGGCCATAATATTAGTATCTACGCGCATTTTTTTATTTAAAACAAATGATTTATTTTTAATTAATATTTATCAAGTGTTGTTGTGTTGCTCCATGTAGGTATCTACAAATATAAGTACCTAGATAAAAACATTAAAATATGAATGAAGTTATTTTTTCAATTACTGCTCTACCGACGTATTTTACCTTCCTCAACTTAACTAAGTATGTTTAGGAATAATCAAAAAGGTTTTTAAAATACATACATCCAAGTAATTTGCCTAATTAAACACACAAATCCCAACCGCTGAGAGGTTTTTTTTTTGAGATTTCCATAACGTCTTATGGAAAAGTTGTTGAGTGTGTTAAACACCAGAATCGGGTCCTTGAATGTGTCCCTTGTTCAAAATGCCACCCTGTAAATATTACCAATATTAACTTAATAGTTGAAAGTATTACCTAATAAAACCAACTAACTTTTTTGGTTTACCTTTTTACCTACAGCAGGTATAAACAAATCAAAGTCTTTGGAATCTGATGATGACATTATTCTGAGAATCGTTTTCGTTTGGATATAAGAGAATCCGATCATTATCTTCGTGCACAGTACTCTACACATACTTATACATATTTTTCTATTTATGGTAAGATTGGCATTATGTGCAAAAGGACCACACCTTGGGTTCCGACCATAGGTATACATAGAGTCATCGACCATTTTGCTAACTGACGATCTATAAGGTTTTTCTTTGTCATTTAAAAATGTTGTAGATGCTTCATATTTACAATCAAAAGTCATGTATTTATAATTTTCACTTCAGACATGTTGAATCATTTTTTGTATTGACATTTGTTTCCTTTTCATAGGTGTTCGGAGACCGTTTGTTCGCTGGCTGGAGCTGGATGATCCCTGTCTTCGTTGCATTATCTACGTTCGGAGGGGTCAACGGTGTTTTGTTTACATCAGCAAGACTGTTCGCGACTGGTGCGCAAGAGGGACATATGCCAGCTTTCTTCTCACTCTTCCATATTGAGAAGCAGACCCCTATACCTTCGCTTATGTTTACTGTAAGTGCCTAAATTGTTATTTTGACAACATTTCAATACCGAACTTATGTCCCTTTCCACATGCACATAGATATTGATCGAATGTTATATGTATGATGAGTACCTAATGGAGTTTTGTTTTCTTTTTTCAGTGTTTCTTCTCGCTCCTGATGTTGACGACGAGCAACGTGTTTGATCTCATCAATTATTTCTCACAAACGTTGTGGCTGTCCGTAGGGGCCTCAGTTGTCGGCATGCTGTGGTTACGTCGCACCAAGCCTGACATACCTCGGCCAATCAAAGTTAACATCATCATTCCATACTTGTTCCTAATCGCCATTGGCTGTTTAGTCGTCATCCCTGCTATCACCAGGCCCAAAGACACAGCTATTGGTATCGCCATCCTCCTTTCCGGGATCCCTGTTTACTACCTCTGTGTCAAGTGGAAGACCAAGCCTGACATGTACAACTGTCTCTCGGGCTGTTTCTTAAGGTTCCTACAGAAACTTTGCTCATGTATTTACGTAGAATCCAACGAGAAGATGTCGAATTGAAACAATTACGAGTACTCATTTGGATTAAGATTGAAACGTTGAAAATGGTCGGCTATACTTATACATTTTTGACGAATGTATCCAATAAAAAATTGATGTTTAGATATTAAAATGTAAAGGACCAAGCGTATATGTATGTACCTAATGTGCAACAGATTTATGTGTAAGGTACTGTGATATATTAAATGTTGTATACGTTTGCAAGCGTATCATTAATGTGTTTGTTATACAAAAATATTTATTAAATCTCTGTATTACCTTTGCTGTTGCTGAGCGCTTGTCTGCGATAAAAAAGAATACTCGTTTATGCGAAAAAGAAACAATGTTAAAAAGGATAAACAGATAATGGAAGACGCGGTGTCCAATAAAAAGGGTAAGAAATATCATAACACTTACACATCATTATGAATATAAAACCAACTCAGTATTTATAATACATCGTATCGTATCGTATTCATAATTTTGATCTATAGGTATATTGTACATAGGTACATCAATTTCGATTCGAGAAATAATTTTAAAAACAGTATGTATTTGCAGTGAGGTTTCAAAAAGGTCAAAGCGCCCTTACAACTCCGAATTAGAAAGTTAATACCAATCATATTATTTATATCAAGCATTCTGTATATTTATAGAACGATGTGACCTCATTACTAAACTGTTTCAAACAATTATTATTTGTAACGGTATTTCGTCGTTGCTCTCTGGATATCTAACCACTCTATTTATTTATACGTGTAGACATTAAGAGCCTATTTATATGTATAGTTTTAGAGTTGTATTTCATTAAGATACCATGGTACCACGACTAAGTTGCGCAACCAACTAGCTGTATGAAGAGAAGGTAGGAACACTACCTTCTTAACCCTGACAATAGTTTTTTTTTTTAAATCTTTATTTTATTAAAAGTCAACCCTGACAATTGTTAAATGACATTTAAAACCTACCATTCGAAATTCGAACGAGCGAATAAAAATTGACATGCGAAGATATTTGCCTTCATTCTTCTTTTTCAAAAATCTTAATTTATTTTGGCTTTCGGTATGTACGGTGCGTCATATTTTTGTTATTGCAAATAAGCTCATTTAAATAAAGATTTGAAAAAAAATTACATACCTAAGCAATTTTGACATAAATAGTTTTTCGAATGTCAACTTTAACGTACTTTTTTTTTATCACTGGTTGTAGTAAGTATGTTGTAAGGTAGGGGATTCGATACCAACTTTGTTTTTTAAAGAATTTTTTGCGAATTAAGCTCTGGAACTTGAATTGGTTAAGCGACCAGTCGCGCGACGATGGTGTCTTTTGAAATAGGACCCATAAAGATAAGGTACGGACATTCCTACAAAGCACTGTTTTACTAGACCTAAAGCTAAGGGCCTAAGGCTAAATTTGTTAATTTTGCTACGTATTTTTTTTACAACTGTTTTGATATAAATGTACCTATTCAGACTTTTGTAGGTAGTATAAATTAATTAATTTATTTATTTATACAGTTTGTATTTTTTGTATGACATATTTATGAAAATAATATACTGGTGTTGTATATATGAGCTTGTAGATAAAGTTGAATGAATGTGTCTGTCAACTGTGTCTTAAAATTATATCAAGAAATGTAACAGATCTAGTATGAAAATAAGTAAATTGACTAAATGTATAGTAATTTTACATTTCTTCAACTTAAGTATATATCTAATGATATTAGTATACAATTCAGTGTCTATATATTGTATAAATGTATATCAAAATATAGCTACTACACACGATTTGCCTAAATTAAAATTATACATATGAAGGACCTCTGAGTTTTGTTTCATTTTTTTCTACCCTATTTTTATTTTGCTGCATGAGCGCTCAATGGTAAGCGGTTAGCATGGCCGGTTGATATTTGGGGTGACTTTTTTCTACCTTTTTAAATTTTTGTACCGAGGTATTTTTACGACTATGAAAACCTGTTGTCATGTGTGGGGCAAATAAACTTTTTACGTGTGTATAAAAATGTTTTCAAACCAGATCAAACTCACGTTGGCGACTGTACAGCATCCAGTTCAGCTCCTAGGTAGGTAGGTACCTACTTAAGACGAACAGAATCGTTGTACCCAAGCAATAAGTATTAAGAAGCAAACCATATTTGTCTCAGCAGTACCAGCTCAATGTAGCGTGGCTCGGGTCCGAAGCAAGAAGAACGAACGGGATGTTTTAGTCAGTAAGACTCTGCCATTCCCTCTTTCCACTCAGAGCGGGAGAAGTCATTGATGAATTTTCTACATAAAAAAGGTTGGTCTCGTACACCGTTTACATTTTTGGTTCACTGTCACATTTTAGAAAACTGGTTCATTATTGTTAAAATACTGGCGTGTTATAAAAAATGACGATTCGAAACATTGAAATGTCAATTATATATTGCTTTGTAAAGAACGTCAAAACATCTCGAAAATATCTATTGAAGTCTCTTTGTAAATGAAAATGGCTAGTATTTTAAAAAGAAGCTTCATCAATCAAAATATAGTGAGACATTCTCAGTATAGAACGTATGCCTCACACAGATGGTATCCTGATGTAACATATCTCAAGCAATTTCAAGGCTCGGTAATGTTTCCCACACCAGAGACCAATAAATACTACAGAATAGTTTACCATTCTAAATTATGGCCAGTTGAACGCAAACTGCAGAACATGGTCATCAATTTTGGGCCTCAACATCCAGCTGCTCATGGTGTTCTGCGTTTAATCCTGGAACTGGATGGCGAGACTGTAGTTAGAGCCGACCCACATGTAGGATTCCTGCATAGGGCAACCGAGAAATTAATGGAACACAAACATTATAATCAGAGTCTACCTTTTATGGACCGACTCGATTATGTGTCTACGTTAGCGAATGAACAAGGCTTCTGTCTTGCCGTTGAAAAACTTCTTAATATAGAAGTTCCACCGAGGGCTAAAGCTATCAGAATTTTATGTACTGAATTGTCTCGGATTGCTAACCACATGTTAAACGTGTCGGGTACAATACTCGATGCAGGCGGTATAACACCATTTTTTTGGATGTGTGAAGAAAGAGAAAAATTGTACGAAATCTTTGAGCGAGTTTGTGGCGCCAGAGTACACTGCTGTTATTTCCGTCCTGGTGGTGTTTCACAAGATATTCCTATTGGTTACCTTGATGACATTTACGAACTATGTAGTAAGTTGGGTGCCCGTTTTGATGAAACTGAAGACTTGGCAACAACAAATCGGTTATTTTATGCCAGGACTGCAGGCATGGGTATCGTATCGGCACATGATGCAATGTCGTTGGGTTTTACGGGACCGATGCTACGAGGAAGTGGAGTCAGGTTTGATTTGAGAATTAATCACCCATATGATGGGTACGACCTCTACGACTTCGATGGCGTTGTTGGAACATTCGGTGATATGTATGATCGTTATCTACTACGTTATGAAGAAATGCGTCAATCTTTGCGAATTGTTAATCAAGTTCTTGATACGATGCCTGAGGGTGAATATAAAACAGACGATTCCAAAATATCCATGCCATCAAGGAAAGAAATGAAATTGTCAATGGAATCTTTAATTCATCATTTTAAGTTATGTTCTGAAGGTTACCCAGTACCCCCTGGAGTCACGTATACTGCTGTGGAATGTCCTAAGGGTGAGTTAGGGCTTTACATGGTTTCTGATGGCTCGTCCATTCCATATCGTGTACATTTACGTCCATGCTCATTGAATCATATTCTTGGTTTATCAGTGCTGGGTCCGCGTTTAATGCTAGCTGACATTACCATGCTTATTGCATCAGTAGATGTTGTTTTTGGAGATGTCGATCGTTAGAATCGATTATATTTTTTTACAAAACATACACTTAATGAGTTTATTTTAAAATATTTATCTATTTAAAATTTTACTTATTTAAGCCTTATTTGTGCTACGTAATTTATGCGTATAAATAAAGTGGTCGATGATGGCGTATTGTGTTTTATTGTTATCAATCTGGAACATACTTAAGTATTTTTTCGTTGTGTTGTTTTCGCTACTTAAGCTGTTATGCATATATGCTTAGCCCTTATAGGTATAGGAGAAGGCTGATAAATAGCTGACTAGTTAATATAATTGTAATAAGCTAAACTAATTTCAGGTAATTGGTTGCTTTAATAGCTTTTCATATCAAGCACTACGAACTTGCTCTACACAAGAGTTTGCATGCTTGGCAGGTGGAGGTCATTCGGTTTATGTAGGTATGTGGCTGCTAATACCTACCCATTTTGTGTTAATTGTAGGTACATCTTTTCTCCAAGGGAATAATGAGGACAGTTTTTTGAATATTTAACCGAAAACCAATTTCTATTCAATTTTCTATTCCAAGAACAAATTGAGTCGATATTCATAGAATACCCTCTCCCACTCTCCCCCCACTTTTTTACTAGTTGTACACCCCGTTCCTTCTATTCTCATTTAGCGGGCGCTTACCACCGTCACTATCCACGACAGGCCCTTACTCCTCTACAGTATTCAAAAAATTGTGCAACACATACCTACTTTTCTTTATTTTACCAAATAGCCAAACGCCGATTTTCATTGATTATGATACCAATTTACCTTGCCCCATCCTAATCCTGTAAACGACGACTTTTCATAAGAGAGATGTGTGCGATTAGTCATGAGACGAAATAATTTTTTTGTACAATTGAATATTTGGTTACGCTTTATCATAGAGTGGCAATGGCTTTAGCCATTAACGATATTATGTGGAATAGACTAATTTCAAAATCATTACATGAATGTGTTAAGGTGTTAAATGTAGGTATGCCAATGAAATGGACGTAAATGTAGATAGATAGGCATTCGCGTCTGACCGGTAATCTCAAAAACGCCAATCCGATAATCTCAAGACTTTCATATTGTCTGTGAGCAGGTGAAACAACGTCTTCTTTTTACAAATTATGCTGTGGAGTGTGGAAAGAGAACTATCTGCATAGATTATATTAATATACTAGAGACCAATGACGTATTATATATAGACACGTCATGAACCAACATCGCGGCGCTTAAAAACGGCGAAAATACTAGATAACTACTTCTACGAGTAAAGAAAGGGAAAGAAAATATGACATCGTATAGTGGAATGCCTTTGCTAGAGGGAGATAAATATACATCTTCAGTTATGCCGACGGCACGTGACTATACCTTCATGCGCCGGCCGCCATAAGATGGCGGGCGCCGGCGTCAAAAAAATAAAATAAAAATAGGTTGTTTGGTGAACTTACGCATGAAATGACACATTTTTGTCTTTAACTTTTGGAGTATAATTTGTACATCGTCTGAACACACACGACGACATACTTTCTTTATGTTTCGCACAGGTTTACACACGATATAAATTAAAAACAAACGTAGCGTCGCGCGGCAGGTTGGTGCGTAACTAAACGCGATGTTGTCAATTGCCTTCATTTCATGTTGTCATTTTAGAGCGCGGACAACGTATCTATAGTTTTATACATCATTGCTAGAGACTATCTCTATGTAAAATGTGACAGCTTAAAAGCGTGTAATCAGGATGGCAGTACTGTAGCAATTAAAAAGTTGTGTTTACATACTCTTTGATAGCAACAGGGTAATGTGACTTGATTTACTGCAATTTTTCATTAAAAACTACATTAATTCTTCGCTACAGCTAGCGCCACTATTGGAGGATTTTTCTGCTGTTATTTACTGCCTAACTAAAACTGAATAAGTACGTCTTTTTCCATGTAAGACATATAATTTTTCATCTAACCTCCATACATTATTGTCTCCGTGATTTCTTTTTTAATTGTGTTTACAGTTACATAAAAATACCTATGTCTCTCACATACTTGTAGCAACCTGATTATCACGACAAGTCAAAAGAAAGCATATTCGATGTTGACGCTGCATAAATTATCATTTTGCATTTTTTGTAATTTTATTTCAAATACAGTGAGTGTCGCTGTCGTTGACTTTAAAAAACTGATAACCATGCTTAGGACATTAAGGTGCATTACTGGTATTGTAGTGTCGAAGCATGGTGATTTTTTAATTTTTATGTAATATTTAAATGCAGAACGCCAACGTTGTCAGTCAATCAATGGTGCCTTTAACCCATAGTTCGACGTTGTGCAGTATACTTCACATTGAATAAAATAAAAATACTTCAAAAATTAGACCGTGTATCCAGAACCAACATACTATAATTGCATCCAGAACTATTTACCTATGTAGTCAAAAATCAACAACGCGTTCACATCGACGAAACGCGACCAGTCGCCGACGAGATGGCGGGGAGGAAGGACTCGCTGCGCGGGCTTTCGGTAAGTTACGTTGTATTTATTTTTTAACGGTTTATTTTCTTATAATATCATTGAAAACTAAAGATAACATATATTGGAATCTACTCATAATATTTTGATTATGTTACTTAGTTTTATTTAGTTTTTACAACGCCAACAACTTGTATGTCTAGTATACTTACCGTCATCGAAGTACTAGTAAAGTAACTGCAAAATCGTATGTCCAGTATTCTTCCCTTCGTCAAATTAGTAGAAAACGAAATACAAAATCGTGTGTCTAGTATTCTTCCCATTGCCGTGTTATTAGACACGTAAGGACTGTTGTATCTCGAAAATATATTTTTAGGGATCAGTAGATAAAATGTCTTACACCTTATTACTTTTTGTTTTTCAGAGCTTCAAGTCAAGAGGACATCGTTTAGTAGGATTGGTCCCACCTGAAAATGCACCATCAGATATAGACAGTAGGTCTGAACCTGAAAACGAAGAGGAAATCGCTGTTTATAGAACTGAAGAGTTATTCTCCTCACCCTGCCCTTCCATTGATTCAGACATAGAACGCATGCATATCTTAGACAGCTCCCATACGTCAGAGGACCATATTAGCGTTAATGGCAGTGAGAACAATCCTGTGTCAGAATTTGAAGACAACTTGAACCAAGCGCAACCTCCGTTGACTCCTATTATTAACAACGTGCTACCACCGACTGGTGAAGTAAATTTTAATGCTTTACCAAGTTTGGCCTCATTACTTTCAATTCCATCATCAGCTGCTTCGTCCATTGCTAGTCCATCAATTCGAATCCGAATTCAGATACAGCAAAGTGGCTGACGTTATGCCATTGAAACGATTCGAGCAGATTCGACGCAACTTGCACTTTGTGGACAACGTCAACTCAGATGAGGACAGATATTACAAGATACGACCCTTCATTGAAAAAATAAGAAGAAACTGCCTTGCAACGGAAGAAGAAATGAATTACAGCATAGATGAGATGACTATACCATATAAAGGTACTAAAGCAGGAAATCGGAGACAGTATAACCCCATGAAACCTGATAAATGGGGTTTCAAGAACGTAGTACGCGCTGGTGCGTCTGGAATCGTCTATGACTTTTTATTGTACAGCGGCGATGACACTTTTCGCTATATCGCTTTTACCGATGAGGAAGAGCAAATGACATTGGGTGCTAAAATGGTGTTAGCCCTTAGTAAAACAATTCAAACTCCAGGATGTGCTGTTTATTTCGATAATTATTTCACAACGCTCGACCTGATTTGGTATCTACGTGAACACAGTGGGATTTTCAGTCTCGGAACTATACGGCAAAACAGACTGAAAGGTTGCAAGGGTCTCCTAAGTGACAAAGAACTGAAAAAAAGAGGCAGAGGTTCATTTAGCCAAGTCGTAGATGCAGATATGCTTACCCAGTTCATGAAATCAAAAGATGGAGTAAAGAACAGAAACAGAAAATTGGTGTCACATGTCCGCAGTTAGTACGACACTACAATCAACATATGGGAGGTGTTGACCTGTGCGATATGTTGATAGCTTTGTACAGAACATCTTTTAAAAGCCGTCGTTGGTACATGAACATCTTTGGCCAAATGTTAGATATAGCGGTTAACAATGCCTGGCTACTCTACAGGCGAAATTGTAATATGAAAAGCCTGAAAAACATAAGTCTAAAAAAGTTTAGACAGAAGTTGGCAGTCGAATTGAGGCAAATGGGAAGATCAAATGAAACAGACGCACCAAGCCCTGTACCGAAGAAAACACTAATTCAAAACCCAAGTGCACCGAGGCCCCCAGAGTCTGTGCGTTATGATGGCATCAACCACTGGCCTGAATATACGACATATGGGTGTTGTAAGTTTTGTAAGAACAACAAAACGAACATGCATTGTTCTAAATGCAAGCAGAGATTGTGCCTAGTGACTAAAAGAAATTGCTTTTATAATTTCCACAAAAAGTAGGTGGGTAGACGAGTGCCCAAACATTTATCTCGACTGATATTTTTTTACTTTAAGAACTAGAAGAGTGATTATTTTTGAATAAGATAATTGTTAATTATTATAAGAAGAATTTTAAAGACATTTTATATTATGTTCAAAACATATGTGATTTTTTTCGTTTCTATAAGGTTTCAGAGTTCCTATTAATGTTTTAATCATAAGACATGTAACAATAAGACTAATTTTTTTAAATATAACGAATATTTTCCTACGGAATCACATTTTTTTTTTATTCTATCTCTTTGATAATGGGAAGTATACTGCACACAGTTAGAGTATATCTGTTTCTTATGAACTTGATGATGTCCATTATAGTGAACGTCGATTTTTTAGGAAACTGAAGTTGGTAAATTTTATCAGATATTTTTTCTACGATCCCGTACAAGCTAAGAAACAAAATTTGTAACAATTTCATTAATTTAATAAAAAAAAAATTCTGTCGAATTAAGGGTTAACCAACTTTAATATAAATTTTTGATAAAATATTACTTACTACTTATACTTGTATTCATTGATCAAGATGAAAAAATACTGATTTTAAGTCATTGACTGCCGACATATTACAGTTGAAAGCAAATCCTCCGCTAGCGTGGCCCACATGTTGTCCCCCATGGCGTTCAATGTGTTCAACAAACCTATCCGCCTTTAAAAGGTGAATTCCCAAAAATCCTTTTTAGTAGGTACTCATCTAATCTAGTTACATATATTTTTCTTATGTTATTTATAATTTTAAACATGTAATAGGTTTAACAAAATTTTTATTCTACAAATTGCTTCACAACTAATTTAACTTATGTTTTATCTGCTAATGCTTTGTACTCTGTGGGACATTAGATAACATTATAATTTTTCATTTACCCCTCCTTGTTACGGCACATAGAAACTCTCTCTTGTAGATTGAAGAGGTTCTACGTAGGTATCTTTTGTATTAAATAATTGGCTATCGTTTCATGCAGTAATCGCTTAGTCTGTAATTACCTAACTGTCAAACGAAAAATGACAAACGAAAAATGTTTTCCATTGTCAAAGTCAAAAGTTAATGTTAATCGTCAAACTGCTGAAGATTGCTTGCAGTTCTACACTTCTAAGTACTGTTTTACAAAGTGCATTTAATTTCGTTCTTTGTTCTCACTTTGCCATTTAAATTTAAACATTAAACTTATCCATACATTTAACAAAAGTTAATATTATTCTAGATCAGAAGAGGATAATCATGTTAAAATTTGAAATAGTTTCATCAAGAACAGTGGAAGGTTTTGAAAATGAAAAGAAATTCGTCGCTTATATGGTGCAAGCAAGACAAGCTACTGAATCCAGGGTGCTAGATCCTGACCCAGCAAATGTTGAGAGACGATACACTCACTTCTTAGATCTGTACAACGGCTTGAAGAAGGAATTTCCAGCTTTGCTAAGCAATATTTCATTCCCTAGAAAGGTACGTAAACAAAGCGTAGTTCATTGTTATTTAATTTATTTATGAGTCATATGTATCGCTTCGGAATAAATGAAGTAGGCGTATTCAGTGAATTTATAGTGTTGCTTCACAGTCAACTTTAATTTAAAGTTTTGAAAAACAAATAGAAGCTAGCTCAATTTAATTAGCAACTCTGTGTTACTGCTTTGCTTAAATTATGATGTCATGTGATTATGTATGTAAAATACCTACTTAGTTACAAATGAGAGGTTTATACTTTGTAACAAGTATGAATACAAATATGAGATTTGGTTTTTAAAGTTAAGCACATTTTTGTCCTTGTAATAATAGTATACTTATTAATTTCAGATTGTGGTGGGTAATTTCGAACCAAACTTGATTTCGTCCCGTTGTGCTGCATTTGAGTCACTATTAGATTTGATAGCAAGTGAATCCCGCCTCCGGGACTCCCCGGCTGCTATCACATTTTTCAAGGACATTGAGCTAAATGAAGCTAAAAGACTTATCAATGATGGAAAATTTGACCAAGCACTATCAGTGTTGGAAACCAGTTTTAAATTGCTAAACAAGGTTTGTATTTTTCTTATTTTCATTTGGTCAAAATTAAAACCACTGCAATAAAACAGTGGTTTCTATTGTCTTTCATATACATTAATTTTTTATATTTACTTACTGTGTTGCTTTTAGTTTAAATACAAATTAGCTTAGGTTTTGTAAATATTATAATAATCTTTGAACCATAGTGAATGCAAACAAAATGATATTGAACTACTAAACATTTATTTACAAATTTTAGAGTGCATCATATCTGTCTATATGAATGAAAAATTCTCTTAAAAAATTATTTTGTAGTAACTAATTATTCTATGAGACTCTTTCATCACATTCATTATGTCTTAGCTAAGAATAATAATTATGTAGAAGGAAACAAAGGCACGAGAAAATACATTAATATTTAACCAGGCACTGTACAGCAATAAACAGTGTATGTGAAATAATATTATGACTATTCACTAAATACTAAAATGTGTCAATTATTTTCCAGGTGTACACTGACAGATCACGCGTTGTACTTGGCGCTTTGTGTCGTATTGTGGCCTGTGCAGGTGCAAGTGACGGAACTCTTGCTGGCCCTGTAGAGCGCTGGGCACAACTCGCTCTAAAGCGTTATGAAGCTGTCAGTGACTCAGATCTGCTTCTCATATATGTACCACTTCTCCACACTTGCATTTCCATTTGGTTAGTATGATTACCATAATTTATGTATTTTTGTGACTGGCGATCAATGGGTTGAAACTTGGAACAGGCATGGGCTATTTAAATTTTGAAAAGTAGATACAATTGCTTTAGCATTTTCTATTGCCAGAACCAGACCTTGTACTATCTAAGGCTTATTTTCCCTTATAAAAATATATGGTTCATTTCTAAAATGACTAACTTCCCTTTCATAGACTACGGAAGATGACTAATTATTATTTTTAGCTATAGGTTCCTCCCCTGTTGCCAGGGAGCTGCACAAAATGTGATTATGAATGAATAACAAGCGTCATTCTTTGATTCAATTTGCGCTTTGTTTTTCACAGCAAGTTTATCATATTACCTATTTCAATTATTTTTCGAAACAAATAAATTCGATGATAAACAAATAAATTCAATATTGTGAACTATGAAGGTTAGATAAAAGAAGGGTTATTTGTTAACAAGTGCCTTCTGTTTTGTAAGCAATGTATTGGTTTGATCTCTAGATTATATTTTTATCTATGTATACTGTATGGTATGTAGTCTGGCAATGAATGATGAAATCCAAACAATGGGAAGATTGATTACTTGTAAACAAATGATAAGTACAGTTTAATTTGTTGAACTGTTTAAGGCTAATAAATAAGTACATTGTCATAAAAGTGATAATATTCAATGTTCCGGTGAGTTAAATTACATTTTAAATCATGATTTGCTCAGTATAATGTAAATATGTAGATTGTAGTAGACTGCTTACAGATACCAGTATGACTACTGAAACCAGGACTGCAGGTCCAGAAACTTACTTTGGATTTGGATTATTACAAGTAGTAGTTATAACTAGTAAACCGGAAATTTAACTATAAATTATTTATTAAAATACACAACAACCAACTTAATTAATAATTTTTTTCGTTTTATTTTTGCAGGGAGACTCTCGGACGCGATAAGTCGAAGCTAGTGGAAGAACTGAATGACCTTCGCAGGCGCGGAATGAAGGTAGACTCTGTGCCAAGCCTCATGGAGGCCGTAGACAGCCTTACTACCACAGACTAGAGTCCTAGGGACAAGTTTCACACGTTTTATTTATGTATTTCTTTGACAATTTAGATCTGTTAGTATGGCGGCATTATTTGGACCAAAATATTTAACTTTTAAACTTTGCTTGTTGCTGTATTTCGATTTTAGTATATTCTACAAGAAGCAATTTGCATCAAAAGTGAGAATCATTTTTACAAATAGGAATTAGATCATACTATGTGCGTACGTATTGAAGTTCGTAAGCGAACTCGTGATGTTTGTAGTTCCATTGTAAACCAACAGATGGCAGCAAATACAAAATGTTGCGTGTAGTTTCTTTGTGGTGGTACATATTCAAAATTTTCTAGATCTGTGTATTGTATTGAGTATGTCGTAGATAAAAAACAGTGAGGTTTTGATACTATTAAATAAAATTCTATTAGAACATAATATTGTGATAGGCAAGGCAGGCTAAAATAGTAATTGGTAAATCATTTTTGTGTTTCTAAATTAGAGAAGATGGTAACGACAATTTATCAGATTTTCTGGTTATTAGTATGACAGATATGCTTAGCCTATTAGACAAACATTTCTCTCATTCTGTAGACTTGTAGTGAATTTGTATATTAGACTTTATTTTATTTGTAAATGTTTGCGTACTCGATATTGTATTGGCTCGTATCTCATTAGTTTTTAAGTAAAGTTATTTGTTTAAATCAATAATCAATTTATATTATATTGAGAAAGAAAAATAAATTATTATTATCTATGTGTTTAAGTATAATAATTATGTAAAACATAGCTGTAAATAGTTATAGAGAGAAACAATTGAATTGGACTCGATTTTATAAATTTTTAACATAATCTGTGGGTGTTTAAGGTATACTTGACCTATAGTTTTTTTAATAATAATGGCATTTTTTATCGCAATTTCAAATAATGGAACTATTAAGCGTTTTACCTACTAACGTAAAATGGAATAATACAAAATTTTAAAATTGGAAATAGCTTGTCAATTTGATAAGAGCTTAAAATGTTCTAGAAAACTCAGCAATGCTCCTAATATTTCAATTTTATTATTATAAAGCTTTAATGTGTTTAAAATGATATTTCAGTCTAGTCTTATTCACAAAAATAGGTGTCAATGTCTATAATTATATATTTTTAAGTACCCAAATACTATAATAGCTTTACAACTGCATCGTAATTATGGAAGGGTCAATTACATATGTTAGCAATTAACAATTTATAATCGACGCAATATGCATGGCCTGATAAATTTTATCCAATTTACAATATAGCTTCTATTTTAAAGTAGGTATTATATAAAGTGCAATAAGCGAAATATATAGGCATAATATAAAAAGTAATATTTAATAAAAAATATTGTTTAGATGTAATTAGGTATGAAATGTGATCATTATTATGGTTCAATGTTAGATTTTTATGTCAATTCAAATGAAATGGTGGCCAGTGAATTGTTAATGGTAATGTAACTTAACTCTTACTTTTTCGTGAATATAAAAGATATTATGGTTTTTTTTAAGTTATCAGATATCTATTATAGAAAATATAAGTAAAAAGGTGTAGATAGGTTACAAGCGCTCAGCAAGTGATACAATAAAATGTGGCTAACTAGCCACACTTTTTCATATTTGTTTCTTTTTCACTCGCGATTATTGAATCATGCCATACCACTTTAACGTGTATCATACGATTTATACATATTGTTTGCGTAACTATGCCATTCTCGAAAATCGAATGTTGTTTATGTAACCTATCTATACCATTTTACTTATAATATAATTGATTTCATCACTATTATGTGCCTTCTCCGATAGCAGGTTTTTTTAGGGTGAAAAATCATCATATGACTTCTCTAACCCTGGGTGAGGCAGCAGGGAGTGTCATTTTCTTATTTACTAAAAACTACCCCGTTCCTTCTCCTGCCCTAGAGGGAGCAACGGTACATTTTTGCTCTTGCCGGTAAAATTGACTACCAATAAGAGGACTCGCGTAGTATACCTATGTTGTTCAGATTCATTAGAGAGCCCATTTCGGGACCTCGTGTCAATTGGATAGTTTCCTAGGTGAAAAATTTATGAATTCGACGTTTCAATACAATAAAATATTGAAAAAAGTAACTAAGCCAATTTTTACGAATTAATTAAACCATTTGACGTAAAAATATTTAGAGTTTCATACAAATTTCATAGAAAAGTATCGTTTTTACATTTGAATTGTGTAGTCCTTTAGTCCGTTACGACTTCAGAAAGTGCAGTGCAGTGGCGGTGGTCCATATCTTTGAAGACTTTTTTTTGATAATGTCCTTTGTGTGATTAAATACTAAAATTATAAGCAAGAATAACTCATCACTGCTGCGCAATGATATGATGCAAGCGCGCTTAATTTCTGGATATATTTTTTTAAATAAATTTTATTATTATTACTTTAAACCATAATAATGATCATCACATTTATTTAACAAGAAAAAAAAAACTCGATTGTCGGTATTTAATCAGTTTGTTTATGAGCGGTTAGACATTTCTATGATATTATTGTTTTAATAATAAATGCTAATGTTAAGATGACTGATATTTTATACATTTGTAGCCATTGTAGAAAATAATAAAAATTATATACAGACTTGATTTATCTTGTTATTTTTTTCCTATTTTCACTTTAGGGTTGTTAGTCAGGACGTAGTATTTTGGCGCCTTTTAATTTTTTATATCGACGCTTAGTTCGCGCGGAGGATCTCCCAGTTTAGTTTGTAATAGCTTTAAAGACTTATACACAATGATAATAATCTAAACCAAGACTTTGTTCCACCGCGTACCGCCTAATATTTTTACACAATGAAAATTGTTACAAAATATGAATAAAACAAGGTAGCTACAATGTTATGTAACTAAACACTTAGCTTAAATACAAAGTTGACTTGGCTGCAAACGGACTACCGAGCCCCTAATAATATAAAAAAAAAAACGCAATATCGCCATTGTCTGTTGCGGCTACGGTCGCGGTGCCACATTGCGCTTACCCTGCAACCCCGGCTGAACATCCCTTTAGGGTCCGGTCTCTGGTGATCTACTTATTGGCTCTTTGAGGCGCGCGGAACGCTACGCGTCATACGCTCGGATTAGGTTCTTGTTGGGTGGCGAGCTACCCTTACTCGCCGTCCGCAGACCCGCCATTACGGTGGCTGGAGATCATCTCTCGATCCCCGACGCCCGGAATGTCGCCTACTGCGGCAGATGGGGCGTGGGAGGATAGTTCCCTCACGCGCTCCGTCTCCTTCGCGGGAATCACTGCAGGAGACGGCTTCCCAGATCCCCTCGTTACGAACCATGGCCTCGACTAAGGCCGGGCGCGAGAGTCGCCGCCGCCGATCACTTCCCCGAAGACACGGCAGTGCTCAGCTCGCTACCATGTGCTCCACCGTTTCCTCAGGGTGGTCCTCACAATTACGACATTCGAGCGTTTCCTCCCGCCGGATCCGAAACAGGAACCTACCGAAGCTGCCGTACCCGGTAAGCACCTGCGTCAAGCGGAAGGTGAGGACGCCATGGCATCTCTCAAGAAACTCATCAAAAGCGGTCAGCGGTAAGACCCCTCGTCCAATAATATCCAAGATAATCAATGGTTTTTAACAAATCGATTTTCGAAATCGTGTATGTATACACATGCATCATAGGTGTGGGCCATGTTTTGGCACGAATGAATGGGCCGCCTAGACCGGAGTGATATCGAGATGAAGGTGGCCTCACAGAAAACCGGCGTGAAACCTCTAATCCCTATCCTTAAATCATAACCCACAAGAGGCCGGTAACGCACTTCTGGTAACTTGTGTGGTACCTATTACGAGTGTCCCAGCGCGGCGCCGATTGCTCACCATCAGGTACCTAATCAGTATGTTATTTGCATACCTATGACATAAAAAAATTCGTATGTACTTAAATGTCCTGAAACGAAATATGTTTTCGTCACACAAAGCTACACAGGCATTTGCCTACAACCTAACTGGATATACGACATTAAAATGCGAATTCTTAGAAATCTTACTTGCTAGTTTGTTAGCAAATTAGTAGCCGTATGTAAGGGTATGCGTAAGGGTACCTACAACGATTATACATATAAGTAGTACGGTTGTCAGCAAATTAGAAGCTCTTTATAGAATGGTAAGTATGTATAGGTAAAACTTCCTATAGATACATATATACTGCTACCTACCTAATGCGTAACCAGTGTAGGTACATAAACCAATTTTTTGTCGTGCTTGCGCGATGCCGCCCTGTCATAAAACTGATCAATTTACTAAATTGATTGGGGATTCACCAAAACAATTTGCCCTTCATAAAGGTAAATTAATTTGGTTCAATTATTTGACGTGAGGGTCCCTAAATGCGGTTGAGTGGTTCCTTCATTACTGGTACTCATGTGTATGGACCGAATGTTTTTAATCAAGCACTTGCCTAATGTTCTCATGTTATTAAGTAAATTATTTTGTTATGATTAGGTATCATGGTTCGTAACGTCGTTTGATGGAATTAAGTTACTGTTTTTCATCTTGCAGTACCCAAGTTTAACAAGATTGAATGCTGTTATTGGTTGGGTTTAGTATTTAAAATGTTTTAGCTTTGAATATTTCTTCACTTTTGTGTAACAGTTTTCTTTTGACATTATATCTAGTTTAAAATAAAATCTCCCTATCTTTCACAAGTTCAAGTTATAGTCATATATACCATAGTTTAATTGTGTTCAAAAACGGAAAAAGTACCCACGTAGGTACATAAGTGATATTGTAGGCTTGAGCATCAGTGTTGACTCGAGCGAGGTTCCGTCACGCGAGGCCGCAGCCGACCCTCAAATGCCTCAAATCACCTAATTGATTCGCGTGGCGCGACTCCTTAGACACGGCAACTCGGCGAGCACTGCTCGTTTGACCGCCCTCGGGGAGTTGTTTGCAATCCCGTCAGCCCCAAGCTTGTTAATTCCTCGAGGAAGTTTCTACTGGCACGCGATACTCTATCCAGATTTATACGTTTAAGGATACTTACCCATGTATCAGATTGTAACAAGAAACTGAACGTTCATAGTCTCTAAGACCATGTGCGGCTAGGGGTGGGTTTGAACTGTTGTTCTATCTGTTAAACTTTATTGTGTAAGTGTTATTGTGATGATATAAGGTGTTAGATGAAGGACAGTAAAAAAATAGCAGCGAGGCTCGAATTAAGCTTAAAAATCTATAGGTTTACTTATCTGGACGGCTGGTTTTTCATTACAGGTCTTTATAAGGAAGCAATAGATAGGTAAGGAAGTCCTTTAAGAAGCAACTTTGTTTTAAGCGCGGCTGGTAACCGCCATAAATCAGCCGTTCAGAATTTACGAGGGCCCTCCGCAAATCGGTTTATATTTTCGATAAATAAAATTGGCGCGGGTTTTGCGAGGTAAGCAGAGGCAGTTAGGAGAGCGTCGCCGCCCGGTGCCGCCAGCTGCCGCGTGCACATAAACCCGACTACCCTCGCGTTTTCTTGCTGACAATTTTTTCCTGCTCCGGTCATTACGCAGCTGGGCCCCGAGACAAAACGGCGAATCGTTTAAGCCCTCTCCGGAGACCGTCCAATTTTATTGTGTGTACCTAGTCGAAATTGATATGCCGCGCGAGCGTCGACGGCTCGCTCCATATGACGGACGCAGGTTCCGCAAGGGACCATTTGCTGCCTCGCGAATTTCGGGCACTAAACCTTACAAATGGCTATCGCTTCTTTGATGTTTTATCGTAACGTGAATAAGATGTTTCTACCAATATGGTACTTACATTTATGGAGCCTATGCAAACTAAAGTTGCGAATAAAATTCATCATTTGGTACAACTTTATTGTGTTGAGTTTTAGGTCAGTACGAATAAATACGTACCTACTTTCTCCTTTAATAACTAAACTTTTTTACTTGCATAGATATTAAATTAATAGTCTGTCGCCGTACATAATTCAAGTATTTTTTGGACGTGTCATTCAAAATCAAATGTTGTTCAATATTCAATATAATATTTAATATTCAAAAATCTCCTTTCAATAACACAGCGATGTCTGATAAGAACGATTGTGATTTATCCGTGGTATTAGGAGTGTTGGTGGTATTCGCTTTACCACTAACACTTCTGGTGCCAGGGTTCTCGGTGTGGAACGTGGTTCCGAAGGTGCGGATCTCACGACTGCACATCGTCAGCCAGGACCTCACCTGGCCGCAGCTTAACGTAGCAATCATCCTCCTGTTGACCCTCTTCTTCTGTCTTTACCTAGAAATTCATAAAAGAAAGTAAGTAAATGAACTCTATTTGTTTTAATTTTAGAGTTTAAATTTGATGAAGTAGTTAATGCTTTATTATTTCAGAGTACAAAAGGACTGTGAGCTGTTGTATATCAATTTAGGAATGTTAGTACGACGGCAGAACCGTCCAGTCGCAGATCACTTGAAATCGACTTAATATCAGTAGGTACTCTGTGATATTAGAACAGAATATTTGACTTCGTCCTTAGTATAAGATGCTCAGACTTAAATCTTAGCTAAACTAAAAAGTATTATTACGACACTTTAAAATAAAACTGTTTTACATCAACCAGCCGTGACAGACTTTGAACTTCATTTATAAAAGGATCTTCAAAGGGATCCATGCTTGTAAGTTGATTGAAAATTGCTGATTAACACCTAAAAATAATAGGCTTTATCTACCCAATACTTACCGTGAGTGAATTAAGCGTCATGTTAAATAATAGGCCCTAATTATTAATATTTCGTTCAGGTTAGATGATATGGTAGAAAAAGTGCTAGCTGTGAGCCAAGCGACGGACACGACGATGGAAGTGGAACGGGAGCGTCAGGCGGCCGCAGTCAGGGTCTGCGTAGATCTCCTGGACGCTTCAGCTGAACATTACGAAAACCTCGTACTCCTCAGAGATGAGCTAAGGAAGCGAGAGAAACTCAAAAAGCAACATCCACCTACAATCGAATCAAGTTCCACCATGTAATTATTTCCTTAAAACGGAAATATTGAACAACATTACCCTAACAATTTTGGCTTTTAGATCATCGATCACTAATAAAGAAGTTCTTTAATAGTGATCGATGTTTTAGACTCATAAATTTGTGTGTGTGTAATTTACATTATAGTTTGCTTTGACGAATAAATCGTTTGTAAAAGCAATACTTTTTATTATACCTAAGTGGTTTCCTGTAGTGACCATTTTCAGCTAATAATGTTCCTTCCTTCCTTCCTTCCTTCCTTGAAGAAGCTAGGCATTCCGAAGAGGGTTACATACCTGTAAATGGTCAAGTCCCATTCAATAGAGGTTGACTGATTTGCCATAATTCGTCTACCAAAATAGAGTTATGTAGCCTCATACTCTCATCATCGTAATAAACTATATAGATGAAAATAATTTACTTTAAGAAGTAAAAGTTATGTTCCGAGTCACAAACATGACCTTAATAAACTTTAAAGGTGCCGTAACACAAAAACAGGCAAACTAAGTACGGATGACCGCTGTGAAAATAAGAGTTTTTATTCCAGTGTCTCTGTGCTAGAAGTGTTCATTAAAGCAAGGCAACGTCCTGAGGATCTCGCGGGACGCTGCCGACGCGAAAAAACCAATCTGGAGCTAGCAATTATGGCAAATGACCTAATTAGACCCCACCGGTACGCCTGGCCCGTCTCGCCACCGCAAGATTTTTCACCTCCCCCGTTGTTTGCGGTCGCTGAGAGAATTGGCTTTTAATATGTGTCGACTTATTTTGTTTTGTGTGAATACCATGGAATAGCGCTATGTATTCATGGTGCCTTTTTCTAAATAAGTTCTATTTAAAAGATGAAGTATCTGCCTAATGTTTTTTTCGTCAAATGCAGAAGGCGTTGTCTAATTTAATTTATGCTTTTTTTGTGCATTGAGTGAATAATCAGCACCTTTGTTTCATCTCTACGAATGCCAAGGGAAGCGCAATAGTTTATCTCTTTTTCGTTATTGCTGAAAACTTCTGAAAAGTGTGTGCCAAAAAGTATGTGATTGTTTGAGTGATTTCGTGTGCTTGATAATGTCACCTGTTTTGGTTGTCCTTTTACCATAGGATAATTGTTTTTTTCTAGTTTCATACATGATGAGCAGCATATATAGGTATATTTTTATATTCGATCCTCTCTGTTCTTAGCAGTCGCGTCGCAATGTGTTGTGTTTTACGACATACCAAGTCAGCATTACGACAGTTGTGGTCGTTAATCGCGCGACTAAATAAACTCAAACGCGCCCTGTCTTCTCGCAACTTTGTCGCAATCCTGTAACAAGCGGCTTTAAAGAGAAATTAACAAAACTTCTTGATGACGAATAAGTACTTACCGCATTTGGTACGTTTGCTCACATCAAAGACAGACGAGAGCTGCACGACTTTATTTAATCAACGAGATAACCAACCAAATCTGTATCATTTGTTGATACTTACTTAGGTACATAATAAGAAATAGTTTTGTCCGGGTGCTAGAATCCTTGCTCGGAGACACATTTGTCTCAGGCGCGTCTCCGCTGTGGCGCGGTGTTAGCGGGTGAGCGCGCTTTCCTCTATTTTCATTAGACGGATCCGCCGGGAGTGGATCAGCCGCTCGCAAAAATAAATAAAACTGTTATTGAGATAAGCATCTGCGCGGCGAGGCTTTTCGCTAAGTCCCGCTGTGTCGCGCTGAGCAATGTACCGAGATATGTTCGGATTACGGGGCGCCGCAGCTCCGTGCGCTTTCCTTCATATCTACTGCTTTTCTTCAGTGTTTTGCAGCTGGAACCCATTTACAAAAATTATCTTCTTGTATTTAGTTATTTAGAAGCATTGCAAACTTTTTAAGTTTTCCACAAAAAGCGTTTAAAAAAGAAATGAGTTCGCATCGTAAAATATACTCTAATGCTTCAGCCCTCATTAAGTCTGAAAATAAAAACAATTACAAAGATGCCGAGCGGTGTTCAAGAGCCCTTAAGAGGGGCGATTGAAGACATAAAGTGGTATGTTTAGGCAGCGTGTGCGTGGAGACTGGTGGAGATGTAGACGCACGGATTAGGCGTGCACTCATGAAGAGGCTGGCGCGCCGCGGCCGGCTTATTGTTGCGGCAAATTGGCCGCGCACCGCACCTGCGGCGGCCACCTGCCCACCCCCGGATTAATTTCTCATCACACCGCCCGTCTTCCTGGGAAATAATGAACACGACATCCTCCGAGAAAAATGTCACTGAGCCCAGAGAGTCGTTCTACTTGATTAATAAACTCTGTATTGCTGGTCCTTGCTGGCTTATATTTTTATGACCGTGCTTTCCTGAAATTAGGAAAAATACAAAACCAGCCCCCAAATATTTTATAAAGGAATTTGTTTATAATAAATACATGAAAACGATTACGAAATGTCGCGAATAGCTAACACTACGTAGCAACTCACTTAACAGTGTTCGCGACACAGATGGCAATTTCACGGTTCACAACTTCTCGTCTTATATCCCATATTGTTTTTTATAACTCTTGAAAAAGTGTTTGTTATCTGCTTACATGAAGGTACATACTTTGATGAACACGATAAATACTAAATACTGAGCGACATTGTTGTGCAATGCACATGTTTTTGTAATAAGGTTTTAGAATGGTTACAATTACAAAAAGTGTAGATGATTGTAATAAGACTTACATCGTCGTCACATCATTTACATGGGGCAGCTTTCAGTCGTTACGAACAATTTCGGCGACATAATATTACCGAAATTTGATTTTAAACAGCGACATTGTAACCACAAAGTCACGAACGCGTCATGCAATACTTTTGTCGCGGCCGCAAGATGGCCGGGAGCATCTGTCGGTTTGTCGCTCTTTCCCTGCAAATAACCGTTTTCTTGATACAATTACTCGAATTGTTATTATTGCGGTTGACTACATTCATTTGAACATTTTGTGTTATTTCAAAAATGCACCGAACAAATATAAGGTATATTTTTACAACAATTTGGACGTCAGTGTTGACTGTGATATAGTAATATCACTGTATATTGTCACTTTTTCCTTTTCAAAGTAAGTTGGCACGTGTAGAATTAATTGAGAAATATTTGTATGATTATTAAACTTTGAAAATAATTCATTATCCGTGGACCAGTGGAAGAGAAGTGGTCTTATAAGAGTACGAAATCTGCTTTAACGAAACTTAGTACTTATTGTTCATAGACGGCACGGTTGACGCGATGGCTGGACAACTGGCTGCCGCGCAACGTGTCGCAGATTCGATTCCCGCACGGAGCAACTCTTTGTGTGATCCATAGATTGTTGGTCCGGGTCTGGGTGTGATGTGCATGTGAAATTGTATGTTTGTAAACGCACCCACGACACAGGAGAAATTCCAAAGGTGGGGCAACGTTTCTCCTAAAAAAATAGATCAAAATTTAAAAACACAACATAGACGGCGAAAAAGTAAATACTTACTTATTTAAATTGTAGTAAATAGTACTACAGCACTCAAGATTGCTACGCCGCGGCAGCCGCTACGAAGTTGCTACGATTGTGGTCTACAAACTCTTACCGGTACTGTGATTTTTTTTAAGTTTCATTCTCCTTTCTGAAGCCAAGAACTAGGCTAGCATAATTAGAACTTACTTATCTTAAGTAGATAATCAATTTATAATTCTGGTTAGTAGGCTAAACTCAAGCGGCGAAAGGCGAAGGTGAAAATTAAACAACACTACTAGGTTTGTATATCTCTAAACTTGGTTTTAAGAAGAAGTCTGACACTCCTTCTAATTACAAAGAGGGCAAAAAGGCATGTTTAACTAAAACACTTAAAGTGGGTTTCGTCGAATATCTTGAAAATTCGATGTTTTTATTTGTGACTAGCTACTCTCGCACGGTTTCACACGCTGTTCGGCTCCATTTAATCGTACTTACAAAACTTACATACTTACAAATTTTACTTCTTTATAATATTAGTATAGAAGTATAGATTTTATTTGTTTTAATTACCAAAATATTGAATTACTAGATTCCGCCCGCGGCTTCGCATGCGTTTAAAGTGATAGCTTTAAAAAAATCAAATCACATATAATTTATAGTTTTTAGCTCTCAGGAACATTGTAGCTATCTATCAGTGAAAGAATTTTACATACAAACTTACTTACCTCTTTATAATATAAGTGTAAATATAGGTACCTCTTTTCTAAATAGATACTTTATACAATTCAAAAAAGTCCATCTACGAATATATCTATATTAAAAACGTTTACGCGGCACGGGTTATCAAGCAAATTTTCTCGACAAAGTTATGGAAACTACTGAAGCAGAACTGATTTTAACGAAACTTGGTACTAATTACATACACAATAATCAAGTTTTTGAAAGAAAATGTTAGTAATCAAGTTTATTTATTTATTTGGCAAAAAGTACCTCAATGATAATATCAGGTCCAGGAATTATCGTTTTTCATTAAATCAATGAAGTGTAGGTAATTGATTTTCTGACTTTTTATTTGTTTTAATCAATAAATGCATCTATGCCAACGTTATTGTACATACTTAGCTTATTGAATTCTTAAAGAAATCCTATTTTAACCATGACGGTGAAAAATATTCAGAATATTTTGAAAACGAAACAGTATTAAACAAATATGACGATTTTAGAAAAAGGAATCGGTACTTACCATGATTTTAAAATAAAATAAATTTGAAATTAGAATTGCCAGACAAAAAATGTGATTTGAAATGGCCAGTAGTAGCAATTAAATTGCTGCACACTTTGTGTTTTGCAGCTCCAGTAGATATTGTAAAATGTTTTTTTTTCTCTTTATTTTTTTTTTTGGGAATTTCATATACTCTGTATAATAATATGTCAGGCGTGTATAAAAAGATATGACGTTTATTTTAAAATATATTTACGAGTAAAAATATCATATTCATATCAGTGACAACAAACAACATGGATAATTATTTGTAAGTAGCTACATAGTAAGTTATTAAGAATAAAAAATGAC